AAAAGAGTATTTCTTTCTAGGCTTGCAAAAGTAGGATGATTGCTTTCAGAAAAATAGTTACATATTTTGTAATCCAGGTGCTCTGACATCATTTCAGGACTTAATTTCTTATCTGTCGAGAAAGCGAAATCTCTTTGTACCCTGGGAATCTTCTGCAGGCAGACTTCTTTGTCTTCCCTGATTTCATTCCAGATGTCAGAGGAGTCATTTGTGCTGTTGGCAGCTTCTTGTGCTATCTGTAGCGGTGGTGTTTTTTCTTTTTTTTTTTTTTTTTTTTTCAGACAGAGCAACTATAGAGAAAAAACCCCACCAAACAATCCAACAACACTACTCTTATTTTCATAAGACCAGAAGTAAAAATCCCCGTAACAGGAACTCAGTGTGCGTTCTCTGTGAAACACTCTGCCTTGCAAAATGGCAGCAGATCAACAAACAGGCAAACACATTAGTGTTTATTTGGCATAGTGAACAGATTCTTTTATAATTCTTTGAATTTGGATTTTCAGTCTTTATGTTTGAATTTTCAGGCCTGGTGTTTCCTGTAGTGTGTTAGAGCAGCGTCAGGCAAAGGCTAAAAGAGTTAGAACAGAGACTAGTCCAGAAAGTATGTAAAAATATTTGGGAAGTAATAAATATGCAACTGCCAAAAAAAGGATTTAGTTATCTTCATTGATATTATTAGTATGGAATCTTCTCCAAATGTAATTCTTTGCCACATTTCTCTAAGGTAGAGGAGAATTACCCTCCTCCTTACCAATGTGGCTCAGAGACCCTGAGTTATAGCTGGAGTTTTTATGGCCCCAGTGGAGTTAGGGAACCTTAGCCCTAAACTGTTATGTTATGTATTTTCTGTGTAGCTGCTTGTCTACTCCAAAAGGCTCAGTTGGTACCCCACATTTTGGTCTGCAAGTTCATCAAACTTCTAAAGATGTGGCCCCTCATGTTTAGAATTTTCTCAGCATGTTGGGGCGTTTCTTCCAAAGCAGCTATACACTGATCATTTAGATGCCATTTTGTGCTAATGAAGTTTCCAGAAGGATGCTTGAGGAAGTTTAGGTTTGTAATTTGAATTTCAAACTTTGCAGGGGCAAGGGTTGGAGCAATCTGAGTGGCTCAAGGATATTCCTGGAACAACAAGGTTTTCCATAGACAGTTCTAAAAGCTGTCAAACGGAACTGGATTAAGATTACTTTTTTTTTTTTTATTTAAAATGTAAATAACAAACATCCTCTCTTTTATCTTTCCTCTTCATCTGATTTTTTAAATTTAGACTGCTTTTTATGGTACCCAGCCAACTGGCTCCTCTGGAACATTTCATGAAGGTCTCTTTACTCTGAGTTCAGGAAGTCAGCAAGAGTCCGGCTGGCAGAGAATGGCAGGGCCAGCGGATCTCCATTTGCGGTGCTGCAAGGGTGAATCCCTGTACTATAGCGATGCAGCTGGAATGCTGGTAGCACAAGATGCAAATGGAAAATTATGTTATATTTAAATCATATGGCTTTACTGTTCCTTGAGAAAACTAGGAATTAAAGGTAAGTTAATGGAAGCTCTGGAATCCACTCGAAAAGCTTTAGGAAAGCTGAGGATCACAGTCTAGGTGACAAAATTCTGGAATCCCGTTGTGCGTACGTGTTATTCCCTGTGCTTGATGATGTGCTAAGGCACATTTACACTAACATGAATCTTGAAGTAAGTTCAGCAAGATGTGCAGTATAGTTGAAGAATGGCAATGAGTCATGATTTACTGACGTGTGCGTGATAAATGAAATTGCATTAAGTTTGAGCTGATTTTTTGTTTTGGGTGTTGTGTGTGGTGTGGTTTTTTGTTTTTTTTATGAGCATGGGAATCATATGTGCCAATTGATTGCTACAGTTGTTTGCTCAGTCCGGTAGCAGGGGCTATTTAGCTGTGTCCTTACAATTTGTAATGCTTTGCTCCTTCATGTAATGTGCTCAGTAATGAGTCTGGACTTTGGGCAGCAGACTTTAAGTTATGGTAGAACTTTTAGAAACCACTCAGTACTATTTCAGAGGAGTTTCTGACTTTTTTTGTGTGTGTTCGTTTCTTTAGTGAATCATAAATTGGCTGAGATGTCCAGTTCACTTTTCTTTCTTTTTTTTCACAGGTGTGTTTTTTCTATGGTTAGTAATAGTTTATGTAGTTTACCTTCAAAAGCTCCTATAAACTTCTTTCTCTTAGCTCAGCAGCTGTCAGCACCTGAGTAGTTTCTGGGCATCTTTATATATTTTCCTTTTAAGGTCTGTAATTTCTATGTTGGGGTTCTCCTTAAGGCTGTGTCTACAATTGACCTGATGATTCTTTGTTTACTGATTTTTGAAGAACTGTTCCTACTTGTCCTCAGTTGATGTTCAAATAATTCTGGAGTCTTTTGAATAGTTATGTCTCCCTGAGACCTACTATGTGTTAATACACGTTCAGAGATATCTATCTTTCCATAGTCACAGTGCTGGATTAAGGTTATTTTGCAGTGTAACCAAAGCAATTACTTCTCCATCCTCCTGCCTGATGACAGCTGCCTGTTCTCCCTAGCAAAGTCCCAGGGCAGAGGTGTTGTATGTATGGTGTAAGCGGTGTCTCTGTGTTCCAGGAAGGGAGTTGATAAGGGCATTTGTCATTGTGGAAACCTGGGTTTCATCATTCATCTGCATTGCTCACTCCGCAGTGGGTCAAGACCACCAAGAATGGGTCTTGGTGGCGGGCGGATGGAGGTAGACACCTCCATCCATACCTGTACTTCCCTGGATTCTCTTACCCCACTCTTCTAGAAAACGTGATTTTTTCCAGTTACTTTAAGATGTGTGTGGCTTCATAGTGCTCTCATATAAGTGCCCTGAAAGGTTCAGATGGTCACATCCATAGATCTGTGGGACATAGTGTTATGTTTCCGGAAGCAAATCTGCATTGATGGGAACAACAGGTGGCAAATCTTTAGGAAAAACTGTCATCGTGACTATGCTACATCTGCGGTATGAGTACAGCAACATAACATATGGGCTTGTACCGAGTTGCTGGAAGTGGCTGAAGTCATCCTAGGCCCCCCCTACCTTAATTAGCGGTGTGTCTGGGTTCTGCCAGAGTTTGGATTTTCCTGTGTTCAGTTTCTGATAACCTCTGCAGATGTGGGGTCTGGGGCAGCGCTGCTCGGACAGCTCTGTTTATTGCAGCTGATGGATACTTTTCTTGACCTCATGACTCTCAGTGTCTTGAATCACTCGAGAATAACTTACTGCCCCAGCTCCCAGATTGTTTTCTGTTTCGCCTTCAGCCAACTGAATGTTCACCTTCCTTCACGGTTCCAGGAAATTAAGATCTTCTGAGACTACATAAGTGTGGGTGAGCAGTATGTTTGGTCTATGGGGAAATAATGTGAACAGAGGGAGATTACGGACAGTAAAAATAGATGTGAGTTTAGGAGGTAGTTCTGGTGATTTTTTTTTTTTTCCCCCCCTCTCAATTCTAAAGTCTATTTAATACTGTTGGCTGGTTTAGCGAAAACTTTCAATAAATGGGTTTAGAGTCGTACAGTTAAACAGGCTTTCTCCCTCCGTGTGGGATGGGTTGTACACTGTACAGGTGATGCGCACAGTGAATTTGCTGTAACCCTTGTGGATATTCATAGCAAGGAGGGATATAAAGGGCTGTTGTCCACCAACAGTTAACCGCTGCAAATGAATTAATGGCAATTTTTACCATCAATAAAACATTAGAAAGAAAGCATAAATAGTCAGGCAAAAGAGGGGTTTAACGAAGTAGAAAATCTACATGACTGTAGAGGGTAATATGAAACATGCAGTGTGCTGGCAATATTCCAGACTTAATTCTGTTTATGTCCTGGATAACTAGATTTGTCTCTTCAGTAATAAAAATATGTAATGCCAGTTACATAGTCCTCTTCAGCAGAGAAAGGATCACTGCTTGGGAATGAAAGTGTCTAAGTCCCAGCAGAGAGAAAAAAAGGGATGCTGTAACTGCTATCCTTCCACACAGGGGTTATTTATTGCCTCTTTTATGGAATTTGCACCACGCCAGAATTTAAATGAGTTCATGTACAGTGTACAATGCACAGTGACTTGGAGCTAAATGGTTATGAAAGACATGACATTTGTGCACTTGTGGTGCCAGTTTGTAATGACTAAAGAATATGCGTGTCTGTGAAGAATTGTCAATGTAAGATTTTAGTCTACAGTGTGTAGATATTTTCAGAATGTAACCAAGTCTTTGTAATGGAATAAATTCATAAAAATCAATTATATCCTTTGTACCTGAAATGTGATTTATTTATTCTGGAGTGACTTAACTGTACACCTCTTCTCGTTGTTTCCAATTCTTGAATGTGAAATATAAGAAAACTTATTCTTTTAGTATTTTATTAGTGGTATTACTAACTTCTCATTTGTTCCCTGAGGATGAGGTCTTGTAGGAGGAATTGTGAACATTTTCATTAAGCGTGGTTTTGCAACTGATTTATTTAAGCAAATTTACTTTACAGTAGGTTTGATTATTAATACATCGGAAATCTTACTTGTGGTTGCTATGGTAAAAGTTGCATTTCATAATGGTATCTCATGACTAGTTTTAATTTAGAAATTAGTGGCTTATTTCGGCTTTTTCTTGTAGTCAATTTGTAAAACGCTAGAGCGAGATTTTGAAAATTACTCATTTTACTCTTGCTTGATTGTAATATGAGTGCAGGGTGGAAGTGGTACTTCAGAGAATGTTCAGTTTTTCTGCTTCATTAATATTTCACTGTTTAACTCTTTTTAACACTGTGTAGATAGGATTTCATATCATGTTAGGATAACAGGACTACTAAATGCTTTATAAATAAAATGCTTGTTTTAGATTCCAAATAATATTTTGATGTGACTCTGTATCCAAAGCATAAGACATTTGGGAAACAAATTATAAGCATAAAATGCCAAAAGTTGTTCAAGTCTTCCTGAAATATCTTTTTCCTCATTTGTCTTGTTTCATGCAGGCTTTCCTTCACCGAATGATCCAATGTGCTACAGCCAAAGTGGATAAAAATGTCACAGAAGAGACAGTTAAGGTTAGTCTCCTAATTGCATATTTCAGCTGTTTTGTATCTGATGTTTTATTTATGTATGTTTTATTCTTTCACAGATGTTGTTTTCAAATATTGAAGATATTCTTGCAGTGCACAAAAACTTCCTGTCCCTGGTGGAGGAGTGCTTACAGCCAGAACCTAATGCGCAGCATGAAATTGGAACCTGCTTTCTTCATTATGTATGCTGTCTTTTATTACAGCCTTATTTCAATTTTTTCCTTTATTAATTTTATTTATTAATTACTGTCATGATGATGAATGTACGTAGTCACGAGGACAAAATATTACTTGATTGCATAATGTAGAGTACTTTGAGGTCATCTCTTGGTTACTCTCATTTCCAAAAAAAAAAAAACAGAGGGGAGGAGAATGAAGAAAGAACATAACAAATGGGCCAACCTTTGTTGTTTCATCATTTTTGCATTCACCAAATTAGCCCAGGCTGACCAACTGAGCCCTGCAGTATGAGCAAGGCTGGTGCCTATACGTGAGATGGAGGTACAAGGATCAGGGTTGGATGAAACAGCAGAAGTAATAATATGCTTTATTTTTATTCCCCTTTGATGCTAGGCACAAATGTGAATATTTAACTAAGAATTGCATATGCTGGGTAAAATATCTCCATGGTCCTGGACCGTTTTACTTCTCACGACTGTAGTACCTCCCTCCATGGTCCTGGACTATGAAGATGTTTTACTTCTCACGACTGTAGTACCTCCACAAGTATGTTTGTATGTCCTGTAGTAATTGTTTTCTAGGAGTGTTATTTTTCCTGTTGGAGCAAAACAAGGATGTCAGTGTTACAGAGCTCTGAAAAATCAGGACAAGTTAGTTTACTTATAGTTGTAGGCCTAAAAAAAGTCTAAGTTTCATTGTTATCTCTGGTTAGAGTCCCATTTGTTTGCTAAGTCTTTGTTTATTCATTGTGGGAGGACAAAATTATTAGTGGATCATGGAAACATCTTACAGAAGTTGAGTAACATCAGTTTTTAACTCTACAGAAGTATGGATCATATTTGCAAACAAGTATTTGCAGCCAAAATAGGTAAAGATGTCAGCAAATAAGCCACTCATTGTGCATTTTCTTCCTATTTTTTTTTCATAGTCCAGCCCCTCAGATTTTTCAGCAAAACCTTACAAAGTTCAACAAAGACAAATGTAAGGTCTTGCATCTGGGAAAACATAATCCAGGAGTGTAGTGCAGGCTGGGATCTACCCGGCTGGGGAGCAGCTCTGTGGAAAGGGACCTGGGGGTCCCGGTGGACAAGTAGCTCAATATAAGTGAAAAGTGTGCTGCAGCAGCAAAGGAAGTCAACGGGATGCTGTGTTGCATCAACAAAGGTTTTGGTCCCTGCTATACAAAAAAGATGTGAGCAGGCTAGAGAGTGTCCAGAGAAGGGTAACAAAGATGATTGGGAAGCCTGCCACATGAGGAATGGCTGGGAGAACCGAGTTTGTTCAGCCTTGAGAAAAGAAGGCTTAGGGGAGACCTTATCACCGTGTTCCAGTATTTGAAGTGTGGCTACAAAGAAGATGGAGGCTCCCTTTTTACAAGGAATCACATGGAAAAGATGAGAGGTAACGAGTACAAGTTACTCCTGGGGAGATTCCGATTGGACACAAGAGGACAAAATTTCACAGTGAGAACAATCAGCCATTGGAATAATCTCTCTAGGGAAGCAGTGGATTCCCCATCATTGGACACTTAAGTTTTGGCTGGACAGGGTGCTGGACCATCTTGTCTAGACTGTGCTTTTGCGAAGGAGGGTTGGACCGTATGATCCTTGAGGTTCCTTCCAACCTAGTATTCCATGATTCTATGACTGAAATTCCCAAGTGATGCTTCCAGACTGTTCATAACTCTTAATTTGAGGCTAGACCTCAAATAATAAACGTAGGAGCTAATATAGTCTTCTAAAATGAAGACTATATTAGCTATTCGGCTTTGAAAAGTGTTCATTCCATGTTTTATTAATTAACAACAAATCAAAATGGCAAGTGAAGAACAATGTATTTCTTTGTTTCTGCAGAAAGAGAAATTCCGTATCTATGATGAATACTGCAGTAACCACGAGAAGGCACAGAAAGTTCTGCTTGACCTTAACAAAATAAGAACAGTGCGGACATTTCTTTTGGTAAATACACTTTGAACTGGTGTTCTAACTAAATATTTTTTGACTGGGCAGTGAATTGTTAGCAATGTCACCTCCACCATATAACAACTAGAAGCACACCTGCAAGTGGTTAGCAGGCAGTTTTAGCTGGGGGTACTGTTTCCAGACAGAGGGGTTGTGTACATCATATTTTCACTGCCACATTTGGATCTGTGTGTAATACAGCATTAGGCAGTGTGCCTTGAACTTGCTGGCCAAGAGACAAGAGTATAAATCCAGCCATACCTGTAGAAAGAAGAAAGAATAGGAAAAGAAATATGAGGAGGGGGAGGGAAAGAATTTAGAGAAGGAAGCTGAAGGACTCGTCAGAACTTCTGAAGAGAAGGTTCACGTTCTGGATCTGTAGCCATGACTGTGCCAGACAGAAAAATGTTTTGTTATGGATCATGGAGTAGCCATCCCGATCTTAGATGCTGACTTAGTCTGAGGTCAAAAGAAACAGCTACACAATTAGTCTTTCACTTTACAAGACAAATAAGGAGGGGTTTTAAAATGTTGAGTATGATGGTCCTCATGATTTTCCAACACCAAAACCAGTTTCCATGTAACTACTGAGCTTCCTAATAGTTGATATGGGTTGTTAAAAGAAGAATTCAGTATAGAACGATTTTTGTGTTTTCATTCATGATGTCCTGTGATAAAAAGGTCAGCTTTGAAGTGTGGGGCTACTATATTGGAGCTTCAATGCCTGAGAGGGTGCCCTGAGATGTGATATCAAATTGCAGAGCAATCAGATCTGATTATTGCGTTTAGCATGCAATAGGCTTTCACTACTGCTGTTGACGGAGTTCTTAGTGAAGTTTTGCTATTGCAGCTCACTAAATTTTTGAAAGATTCTGGGTCTGACTCCCTTCCTAGCTGCGTTTACTTATAGCGAAGTTAATGAGCAATATGGGAATTTCCTTATTGTAGAGGATACTGGGTGACCTGAGACCTTTTGGCCAAGAGTCTCTTACTCTTCAGCAGTGTTCCGTTCATAGTTAAAAACAACTTCAAAGTTGCCCTGTTTTTCCTCAGCATTTGACACAGTATCCCTCACCTTGCCCCAGACTTGAGGAGCTGCGAACACATGATTTTTGTATTGGGAGCAGCATGGCAGGACTCAAGAAGGAGGAGTGAATGCTGACTAGAGACAAAAAGCAAAATGTTTGAGTGAAATATTGCAAAGAGCTCATTTTGTGGGAAAGAAGGCCAAGCGGGCAGTTGTGGCAGTTTATGATATGTCAGTGTTACGTATCTCTGGGATCATGCATGGGGCTTCCACATCTGCTTTGGGTTCCTCATAGATTCAGGACATGTCTGTAGAGCAAGTGGCAGCAGTCTTAACGTAGAGAACAGGCGGGATGACTGTTTGATTTGAAAGCACGCTTGAAGCCTTCTAGCCAGACAGAACAGTTCAAGTCATTAGAGATGTGATTATCTATAAATAAGCAGGACCTGAAGCTGAACTTTTGAGCCACTAAGTATAGAGACAGTCATTATATAAACCTATAGTCTTCATTGCCATTATCTTGGTTGGTCTTTATCAGTAAAGCTTTTTTGTTGGCAGGCTAGGTGAGATCATTTAGGATAAAGGGTCCTTTAGGATAAGGCAGAAGCTGGTTAACCATGAGTACAAAGCAGAGACTTAAGGGTGGGTGTAGAGATCCCCCTGGCAGTACTGATTATGGGGTATGTGTGTTGTGAGTTATGTGCTGAGTGGAGTGGCCACCCAGTTGCGTAGCCTCTGTTCCATCAACAATGTGTCTGCATCCAGATTTGTGGCCTATGTCAACATACCATCTGGCTGTGTTAAACTGCTTTTGTTTAGTGTTCTCAGTTTAGACATCTTGCTCTTTGAAGCTGTAGATTATCTCATACCATTGCATCACAATTCCTTCTGATCTCTCCATAAAATAATTTCCATCATTACTTTAGGTCTTTATGTACTTACACTTTAAATCCAGGAATTTCAAATCTTTGCTGTGATGTCCCTTGCATACTTTGTTATCTCAAATATCCCTTATTCTTTTCTCTGTCTCTCTCAGCTGCTTTTTTATGGATGTTTCCACCCAATATCTCATGTATTCTCTGCTTCCGTAGTTGGATGTCTTCCCAAAACTCACATAGACTTTATCCATGACTAAGGTTATTTTATTCATTACACATTGCATTTAAATATAGAAGCATGTAAGCAGATGAATTTTTTGTTTGTGTGTATTAGGATGGCCATATTCAAACTTCTCAAAGCATCTTTGATGCTACTTACTGTTGCAAACACAGCTTTAGTGGTCACCCTGAATTAATTTTATTTTTGTTCATTGAAGTGTGAAAGCATATTTTTAACATTTTATTTACTGTATTTTCTTTTTAAACTTTAAAAAAAGGCCACTCTCAATTGGATTGGATGAAGAGGATATGTAGGGGAGATGCCTGCATAACACCGTTGCAGCTTCCTTGTCATGTACAATAGTCAATGTACCTGCCTATGCATGTGTTCAAGCCTGTTCTTTTGACACTTTTGCAAACCTCCCTCATCACATATTTAACATATACATATATAATTTATATATAGTTTAGCCATCATTGCAGTATGTGTATGCCCTTGTCTTTATTTCTGATAATTTTCTTGCGATATTTTAATAATTGCTGAAACTGTTCACACTCCAGAATTGCATGCTCCTTGGAGGACGCAAGAACACAGATGTACCATTGGAGGGATATCTGGTAACGCCGATACAGAGAATATGCAAGTATCCCCTTCTTTTGAAGGTACTTAGAAGATTTTTATCTGGGACTTTATGCTTCTATATAAAACTGGTTGCTAAGGATACTTCCAAACAGCAGTAACAATCTCTACACAGTGAATAATCTCTTTATTAGATATTGGACCCAGACTTGCTCTCATTAAAGCCAGTGGCAAGTCTTCTGACATCAGTATTAAAAGGACTGAGGAGTTTGGCTGGGTCAAGATGATTAGCTCCCTTCTGCATCTAGTCATAACGTTGCCTCTCCATTGTTGAACGGAAGTGAGCCATTTAAGGGAGTTTAATGAGACTGATTTCAGCTGGGTTTGACCATGTCCTTGCTTAAAATGCTTGGGATAGCAGGGTTTGTTACTGACATGCTTTGATGTTTCTAATTTACCATCACCAGACTATAAATGAAAAATATTTATGAAAATGATTTGTAAGAAAAACTGCAGAGTAACAGTAAGATACTGTAGGTGGTTCTATGAAAATTTATATGTTTGTTCTTATCTTACTGTTACAACTTAAAACTTAATGAAAACTGTTAAGTGTGCTGATCAACATTAGACATAAAAACTTAAAAGTAAACATGATAAAATAAAGGTTTTTAAAACAAGTTAAAGAATATAATAATTGCAAGGAGGTTTGAGTCATCCCAGATATCTGTGGTTTAACAGTTCCCTTGGCCTATTTTAAAATTATTTTTGTCTTCTATTTTTTGAATGAAGGATCTACAGACAAAACAAGGGAAAATGACTAATTAATTACTTCAGGGAAATATTGAAATTAATATATTTATGTTAAATACAGGGTGTGGTGACAGCAGAGCTAGGGCTCCAGGAGGAACGTACCCACGCCTCAGTTAGGGTATGCACTGAAGGCTGTCCATAGGCGGTCCAGCTGTAAATGTGTAGTTGGTAGTTTGAGATGGGAAATCTAAAATGAACGCTGGCAACTCAACTTTTGTTTTTTAGTATGGCTGCCATTACCAGTTACCATCTGAAATCAGTGAGTCACCTAAACTATTGTTCAGTGCTCTGGTGTATTGCACTAGATTAAACAATACTGTGGAGCTAAAGGAACATGGGTTTTGCCCTGAGTTGCAGGAAGGGCAGATGTTAATTTTGACGTCAGTAAACTAACATTTTTAAGCGGAATTGTTATCCTTGCTATTGAACAGTTCCATCCTGTGGAATATAAAAAACAAAAAAAACCCAAACCCAAACCCCAAAGCTCAATATGAAGAAACATTGTTGGAGCTGAAATGCAAACTTTTTCCTAAGTAGTGATGATTTTTGTTGTTAGTAATTTTTTTCTCTGAGTTTTAGTGTCCTACTAGGACACAATGCTGGAGGGTTTATTACTTTTTTGCCTAGTAAAAGAGAAGTCTGGTTACTCTTTGACTTTGTATCTTAGTCAATTTAAGCCTCCTGTAACGTACATTTAAAGATCAAAGACAAGTTTCTTTTTTATTTTTCTTTAAATGTTTAAATAGGAGTTACTGAAGCGGACTCCGAGGAAGCACAGTGACTATGCGGCACTAATGGAAGCCCTCCAGGCCATGAAAGCTGTCTGTTCCAACATAAATGAGGCCAAGAGACAAATGGAAAAACTAGAGTTTTTGGAAGAATGGCAGTCTCATGTTGAAGGATGGGAGGTACCGTCATAACATTTGTTGCTTTCTATGTTGAGGAGGGAGTAACAGTTTTCTACAAGCATGTATTGCACTGGTTTTGCAATCCTGAGGTACTGTCAGCTCCTCAGTTCAGTGAAATAACAGCTTTTATTTAGAATCTATTCTGTAAATTGTGTTGTCTGTGACAGAGCACTGCTGTGTAAAATAGCAGACTTCCAGGAAAGAGGGCAAATGTTTAGTGTTTGACTTAAAATATTGAACCATTACATCAATATGTATGTGTACACACCTACAGATCTATAAATCATAACATAACTGCTGCTCTGATTTTACTGCTGTCAATGCATGCCTAGCAGCATTTTGTCTGGTTGAAAAAAAAAAGTTGATTATTTATTATTAAGCACTAAAAACTTTCGGTTTTGTCAGCTTGTTAGTTGTCCCTTACTATTGGCTGAGCTAAACTAACATAAATGTGTTCAATATAATCTGTATGAAATGTTTGGTTTTTTTTCATAGTTTGCAAATGGAAGAGCTTGAATGCTTTAGTTTTGTGAAGAAAACATAGGTCTGTTCCTGAGTTAGAGTTGTCAGTAGTAATCAGAAGAGCCGCCCTTTCCCCCACAAGATCAAGTAGTTGTAGCACCAAAATCGTTCTTTTTTATTATTTTGAGCACTGTAATTATTTTGTACAGAAAGATAGATGTATCTTTAAGTTGCCTTGGGTGTTTTGTATCGAAATGTCTGAGCTGCCCGCACTGAAGTGGGAGGGAAACACAAGTGAAGTCCCAGTAAAAGAAATATAAAGCAAGTAATATAAACATTTTTTAAAAAACTGAGTTTTGAATATAATACAGAGGGTTTTTTAAGACACGAATTTCAACATGGAAGTAGTTCTTTGCTTTTTTGAATACTTTACTCAGATGTGCTACTTCTCTTCCTGAGAGAGCTGCTGAAGAACTAGAGGACGAGATTTTGTCCTTTTAAGCTTTGTGGAAGCTTGCTGGCTGGAAAAAAAAAAAAAAAGAAAACTGTATTTTTTGCATGTTAGTCTGATAGACTGAGAACCTGATCTTTCACCTATATAGTGGGAAATGGCCTTTTTACAGTGCAGAGAAAAGAAAAGGTTAGGGACACTGAGGGGACACTGAATCAGAGAAAGCTTTGAGATAGACCTGCCTGAACTTGAACTGACAGAGTTCACCAAAAAGTCTGACAACTAAAAATTAGAATGTTGACCAGAATACTGAATTTTTAAGGAGGTATTCATAGTAATAGATAAAACAGCAGAAACAAAAAAAGTAGTTTCTATACGGCTGTGTTCCCTCCCTAAACCTCCTGCTGTTACTACACCTCTTGTTCCTCGAGCTTGCTGTGTGTAAGGATGTGCTCCGCTTCTGCAGCGGTGGATTCGGTCTCCCTCTGCCTTCCAGAAGCGCTCAGCAGAACAAGCCACTGTCTGAAAGGAGCATAAAAATTACACTGAACAAAGAACCCCCTAAATACTGCCCATGACACCGCAAAATTATTTCCTGTCTGCTCCACGTGAAATCTCCTGATCTGTGGACTTACGCAAACCCTTGATTTGTTGTTAATTGAGTAGTGTGGGAAGATTTGATTCATTCTAAACTTGGATTAAGCAACTAATTTTGCTTTAATCAAAATTCTTCATGTTTCTTCAATGCATTGTGGGATTTGAAATGTATCACTTAAGGTATTTTTCCTTTTCCTGTGTAGCAGTGTTTTCAAGAACTGCTCTTCCATTTCTGTAATTGGGGTAGGTATAATTTAGAGCAGAGAAATCCTCTTATGCAAGAGTTCAGGGCACTGTAGTCTTTTGATACAGGACTGTCACTATAATGCATTCCACAGAAATTCACAGTGCCTAAAGTGAAGGAATTTTAGCAAGTATGAAAGCTGTATAAAAAGCATAAAAGCAAGTATAAAAAAGTATAAAAGCAAGTATAAAAGCTGGTCTGTAGTCAGACAGACCCTTTCTGTATCTAATTGTAATCCTCAATCTCAAATAATAAAAAAAAAGCCATTTAAAGATAAATGACAGAGAATATGTACTCATGCCATTATATTGATTGTAGGATTTTAAAAAAGAAATGACTTCTTACATAAAGTAAAACTCTAAATGTTGTCATTGAGAGGAGGGCTAGTTGACCTCACGCTTTCCAAAAGAATCAATGTTGTTTAGACTTGGTGAAAATAAGTTTCTTTTGTAATTACCTTGAACTTGCTGTCATCAGCAATAACTTGGAAACATTATTGTATATGAATACTAAAATACATTAGACATGCTTGTGCAATAACTTCATGATAGAGGCAGTATCAAGTGCTTATGTTGCTGAATATTTTATGGCAAGGAGATTTGTTAAATAATCCTTATTGCCTATCACTGACTTTACTCCTTCTATTATGTTCAACTTTTCAATTAAGTTTTCTACTGCATTAGAGTGATTAAAATTCTTCTACTTGCTTTCAGTGCCTGAGTCTTACAGATATTTGTCAAATCCATCTTAATGAACACACTCAAGTATAAAGTTACAGTATTATTAACTGAATGCATTATTAGTCATATAACTTGGTTAAGAGCTGACTGTTCTCAAACCTCTAACCCTGAAAAGGGAATCTACTTTCCTGCATTAAGTTTCTTCTGAATCATTAGTAAGACATACAGTAGTAAATGTTTGCTCTTGGAAATATATTAATGAGCAAAGGTAACAATAAGGAAAAGTAACAATATGGAGAGAAGCATGTGAAACATAGACTTACTCTCTCTATGCTCAGAATGTATTATCTGAACCGTAACATAGTAATTTCCTTCCAACCTTGGAATTTTTTGGTTGGTTGGTTCCCTCCCCTCCCCCCGATTTAATTTTAGGATTTTTCTTGTGCTTGAACTCTGAAATAGTGCCATCGTCTTAAAATAGTATGTTTTCAGTAGAGTTAGGTGGTGTTTATTGTAGTTTAGCTGATGAGGTTTGATATTATCATATGGCAACCACAGGGTGCCCAATCTGGCAAAATTGCCCTGATCTTAATATGCGCATCCTTTTCAAACATAATATATGGTTAGTCCTTGAAATGGTAAGAATTCCAGAGCATGTATAAGAGCTAACAGTATTTTGAATGATTCCCAACAACTGCAAAAAATCTCTGAATGCAATGTAAGAGAGTGGATTTAATTAAGTAAACATCTGGTTTTCTGCATTGCCTAAAAATAAAGGGGCAAACTTGTTGGAGATTTCCTTCCAGAAGGAAATGCTTAGCACATTGCTTGGCCCCAACTAGAAGGAAAGGGAAAAAAATGAAGACTATTTTTAGAATCTGATCAAAGCATGACTTGAATTCCTATACATAAGTGTCATAAAATGAAGCTTGTGTTTATTATGATAAAAATACAGATTCATGGAAAAATGGAACATCTGTTTCAAGAAAGAAAATTTTGAGTATAATGGCTTTCTCACTTAATTTCCTAAGTGGTTAAATTTATTGGCCTGAATTCAGAACTTGTGTAGGTGGCTGTCTCAGCTGGAGAATGGCTCAGCAGCTGAAGGAGCCTGTCAGTAAAATTTGCGTGGATGTTACAGTGAGAGAAGAAAAAATAAAATTGTTGCATTTATTGTAAGCTGGAAACCAAACAACCCAGTCTGAGTCACAGGCCAACTGATTGACAATAGCATGGGGTATTCTGTTCCTTTCCATTCCGCTGTGTCATTAAGTAGTATTTTAATAGAGATTTCTGTTTTAAACTCCAGAATTTTTAGCCCTTTCACCTATTTTATTTCTGTTTCCTATGCCCACGTGCAAGCATTGAAGAGTAAGTTAATATCTGCGATTTCTGACCTTTGTCATTGCTAGCATGATGGCCACTGAATCAGTATGGTCAGACCTCCATGCTTGACTGACATTTGCCCAGAATTTGTGGATAAGTAGCTTTTGTAACAAATAAAACCAACAGATGCTGCTTTTGATCTCAAGGTAATGAAGGACTTTTTTTTAAGGTCAAAAATGGGTATTTAATGACTTAAGGATGAGGGGGATATTATCTTACATTTCTTGCATATAGTCTCTCTTTCCAGTGCATTTTGAATGTATATATTTTGTCTTATGTTTCTTGCATATAGTCTCTCCAGTGCATTTTGAATGTATATATTTTGTGTTATGGTAGCGTAGTTCAATTTTAGCTGTGCAGTAGATAGCCTCTCCTGCTTCTGGGACAAGGGTGACCTCTCATCTGTTACTGCAGCCTTGAGCCTTCCCCCACTAGAGGGACAGCTCGGAGTTGGGTAAATGAATTATTCTACTGTGTTGGATATGAACTTTAGCTTGGTGTTCCTGCCGTAAACGCATGTGGAGGTTCAAGGTGTAGCTACATCCTTCATGAAAACGTTCTTATAGTTGTCAGTCCTCCTTTGAATTGCACGATGGATATGGCAGTGCTTGCGTGCTCTCTGCTTTATCCTTTGGGCACGTTTTTCATCCCTAAGGGATGCGATGGAGAGGAGTGCTCATCCCAGGTGTAGAGACAGCAGGGCTTTCCATAATTTCCCTTCCTCTTTTCTCCCTTTCAGCTCCATGCCCACCCCAAGTCTAGGAACAGGCTCACCCTAACAGTGTGATATAGGCAAGGGGGTGGCGGGGGATATTTCTGCACTGGCAGTGGTATGTAGGACAGCCAGATGCGACTTCTGATCCTGTTAGCTTGTTGCCTTGGACTTCAGCAAATAAAGCAGCAATAACAAAATTCACTGACCTGCAGCCACACCAGCATGGGTTGTGATCTTGTCAAAAGGTATCCGATAAGTGAAGTTAACACAGTTCAGTATTTGGACGGGAGGTCTCCAAGGGAAAAAGAAATATCTCTAGAATGTTTTTTTCATCATCTAGCAGTTTATGTTAGAAAAGGAAGAAAATGAAGAGGAAAACACTAGCTAAGGGTAGTAATATGATACAGATAATAGTCACTGTCATAATGCAATGTTGAACTTGAATCATGGATGAGGCAAATCCTGGTAATTCAGGCAACCTGAATTATATACATTTAAAATATGTATAAAATACAGTATTTTATGACATGATGCTGTCACAGGAGCAGATCATACTAGGACTGTTGGGGAAAAGGTTGTATTTTTCTGCAGTGAAAATGAAATTTTTCAATAAAAAGAGACAAAATGTTTTCATAAAACCCTTTCTACGAAAAAATAAACCAATTTGTAGAAAAAGGAAACTGCTGAAACCATTTTGAAGCCTTAAGCTGAAATTTTATTAGCTTCCCTACTAAAAATTACAATTTTCCAGCAAAGCTGAAGTTTCCCATAAAAACAAACCAAAAACCTTTAAAAAATATTCAGCTTTTTAAAATGTAAATTATTAGTAAGTACTGTTCCAGCCAATTTTAAAAGCAGCATAAGGTATTGGTTACTCTTTTTAATACACAAAAGCTATGAAATACAGTGGAAAAAAATGACATGTTTTTCTGTAGTTGTGGTCAGCAAACATTAAGTGCAGCCCTAATTTATGCTTAATTTATATTACTGAATGCGCTTTTAAGGTGTTACAGTGTTTGGTTTCAAATAAAACTAAAATTAGTATGCCAGCTTCTGGTGCTTCTTCTGTCTTAAGAGGGGACGTATGGTCTAGTAGCTATAGATGACATTAATTTTTGGCTCATTTGATCCTAAATGGAAACAAAAAGTGGTTAGTTAATACTGATACTTAAGCTGCTTTATTTAGAGACCTGGATTGTGTTCCAGTGTGATGGTTGTGCAATCTCTCTTATCATTTTTGTAAACAGACTGCATTCTTAGGACAGAGTCTGAGCTATTGCTCAATATTCAGTGCTGTGACATGCAGAGGATGAACGATAAAATGAAGAGCTGAGAGCAGAAGCCATGTCTGCTTCTTGGCTCTTAATTGGATGCGTTTTTCTTTGGGCTACTGTGGTTAGATCAAGAAGAGGAAGTAACTACAGCTATTGCAGGCATAAGTCATTCAGGACCTGTGTAGATGAAAGGAAAGTCCTCGCTTTTGTGGGTTTTCCAAGCTGACTGCTGACTGCCCCAAGTTAGGAAACTCCTCCAGCCATGGGTGTATGCTTGGTGCAGCCAGAACACATAATTATCAAAAGGATGGCATGGCTGGATGCATATAGCACACGGACCAGAGCTCTTACCCACAGGAGCATGGATTTTCAGAACAGCCAGATATTTTGGGGAAAAAGTTATTCTTTGTTCAACTTGCTTCTTTTCCATTAACTTTTATGAAAACGCCTGCTGCCTTTTCACATGAAAGAACGGTCTGCCTGAAGCAAAGAAGAGGCATGGGAAATTTCATCCCAAACATCTAAAGCTTAGCAAAATTCTGATGTCTTCAGAGGAAGAAGGAAGTGTACTAAACAGTCTTAGTTTTATGTGCCACTGCTTAGCTTTACCTGAGTTTTAAATCGTGCTGGTTTTTGGTTTTGATTTTGCGTTTAGCTTGATTTAGTGTAGAAGTATATACCCTTAATGATGTTCAAGTTCCAGCTTACAAGTTCATGTTGGCATAGGTTATGGTAAAGCCCCATTTTCAGACATTTCTGACTAAATAGTAAAGTTACTGAGAGTTACTGTATAAAGTTGGCCTGGCTTTTCAGGAGGAGCCTTATGCACAGATCTAAGATAATTTGGAAACTTCAGTGATTAAGCTTTATCCGTTCAAAAAAGCCACAGACCCTCCGCCCTAGTTAATGGCAATACTAAATGAATACAAAGCTGGCGTTAAGCATCATTAGAAATTATTATTTAATAACAGTGTAATAAAATACCATGAGATTGGTGTTTCCAGAGAATCATTACAGTTGTGAGTGTGTATAAGAAACTTTGGCTTAATTGGTGCTGAGTCCTTCAGTTCTCGCAGAATAAAAAAATAATCTCTTTCCAATTAATTTTAGGGGTCCAACATCACAGACACATGCACAGAAATGCTGCGAAGTGGACTACTACTGAAAATTTCAGCTGGAAATATCCAAGAGAGGATATTTTTTCTTTTTGATAACCTTTTGGTCTACTGCAAAAAAAAGCACAGGTAAATGATTAATTTATACTCTCAAAAACAATGTATTTTTCTCACAGTAGAGCTAATCCTCTGTGTGCTGTTTTGTAAAAAATATTTGAACAACACCAGTGTTTACTGCAGTTAATTGAAATATAAAAGTAAGCATTTTTAGAGGAGACCTGCCATCCAAAGAGAAGTGGATTTAATTCAAACATTGAAAAAAAATTCTACGAATGCATAATCCATATGGTGAAGTACAGGGAGAAAGAATCTGTTTTGTCAGTCTTCCACAACAGGTTATATGTGATGGCCTCACTCTCTTCTAGGAATGGTAAACAGACTGAATTTTCAGTTCAAACAAATTAATATTTTAGCTTATGCTATAAAATAAGTCTCTACAGATTAGAAAGTTTCAAGTGTGTATTTCTAATCAGGGAAAAGAGCCAGAAAGCTGCTCCTTGCTGCATTGCAAGGAGCAATTCCTTAGTTCAGCAACAAGCTTCAGCAGTTAATGTTCAGTGCTCTTATGCTTCCGAGAAATAAGGGTTCTCCTACGCACAGGCACGCCTCTTGAAATTGCTTAAGTTTGTCTCTTTGATCCAGAAATTGTTTTTGAGTAGCCATTGAATACATATTGAATACACTGAGTACTGGATAGATCCTTGATAGATACCTAGATACATGGTAGACCTTGAGTATGCTCTCTAATAGCACTGCTGAATACCATTATCTCTGCCTCTGCACACTTGTGGATGGTGTCAGAGGAAACTCCACCATCCACCTCAGCGTCCAGTCAAGGACAACGAAGGGCAGCAAGAAGCGATAGGACAAGGGGAAATAGCCTCAAGTTGCACCAGAAGAGGTTTAGATTGGATATTAGGAAAAATTTCTTCAGTGAAGGGGTTATCAAGCTTTGGAACAGGCTGCCCAGGGAAGTAGTTGAGTCACCATCCCTGGAGATATTTAAAAGATGTGTAGGTGTAGTGCTGAGGGACACAGTTTGGTGGTAACTTGGCAGTGCTAGGTTAATGGTTGGACTCGATGATCCTAAGGGTCTTTTCCAACCTAAATGGTTCTATGATTCTATGACAGAGTTGTGGTTAGATTCACTGTAGCACCTGTAGAGCTTTGTGCTGAACCAGTATGGGGGGAAGGTCAGACTCATCAGTATGTGCTATAGGAAGTAGAAAGTGGTAGTAGTGGAAACTAGCCACGGACCCTATTGGTCCAGAATGTCTTATAAGAACCTCTATATTGTAAAGCTGCTGAGCTTGCTTTGCAAGAACCTTGTTTAGACTGGACTGGAAATGCTGTATTTTTCCAATGGGTTACTACTGAAGAAGCTGCTGACTAACCCTGAGTGAGGTTTAAAAATCTTCCCCAGTGAATATTTTTTCCTCCTATAGATTACTCTGTTAACAGGGAACCATTTGCATGTGAGAAAATAGGTGATTTATACTTCACTAGCTGTAGTGAATCAATCCTTTGTTTTTAAGTTTCAACTCTTGCTTAGGTTGCAGAACTTTTGGAACTGTTGAGTATGAACCATTTAAGAACCTCGTGATTATACCTAGTGTTGAATACTAAATTTAGTTTAAGTGTATCCTTCTGCAACTGCTCAGTTTTGTTTTTATGTAGACTGGTTAGATATAAACTCATGCTCTTTTCAAAATTTCTAATTTTTGCTATATTTTGTTATATGGCAATTACAATTAAATTGCTGATTACATAGTATCTTTTCACTTGTCCACCACTAAATTATTTATTTTTGTAGCCATATTTTAGCTAAAGTGCACCATTGGATGAAAATTTCAAAACACATGAAAGGTCTATGATTTCTTTAGTTTTGAGCAATCATGTCCTACATGTCATTGGCTGGTACCATGGTGACATCTCTGCAGACATGTGAATAACTCAATTTATAACATAGTTTCAAAGTTTATGGTGGGAAATTAATTGATTATATGCCAGCAAGATACTTCAAGTATTGATTGGCAAGTAGGTAAAGACAGTGTTGCTCATAGGATGTTTGTATTTTGGAAATTTTACAAAAATTTTCCTATTTTACTGGTATGAGATAGAATCATAGAATTATCTAGGTTGGAAGGAACCTTTAAGATCATCGAGTCCAACCATAAGCCTAACCAAAACCACTACTAAACCACGTCCCTAAGCACCACATCTACCCATCTTTTAAATATCTCCATGGATGGTAGTTTCACCGCTTCCCTGGGCAGCCGGTTCTAATGTTTGATAACCTTTTCGGTTAAGAAATTTTTCCTAATAACCAATCTAAGCCTTCCTTGGCATAATGACACCATTTGTTCTTGTCCTATTGCCTGTTACATGGGAGAAGAGACCAATACCCACCTCACTACAGCCTCCTTTCAGGTAGCTGTAGAGAGCATTAAGGTCTCCCCTCAGCCTTCTTTTCTCCAGACTAAACAACTCCAGTTCCCTCAGCTGCTCCTCTTAAGACTTGTGCTCTAGACCCTTCACCAGTTTCATTGCCTTTCTCTGCACACGCTCCAGCACCTCGATATTTTTCTTGTAATGAGGGGCCCAAAACAGAGTAATGGAGGTGGGGCCTCACCAGTGCCGAGTACAGGGGGACAATCGCCTCCCTAGTCCTGCTCAGCACACAATTCCTGATACAAACCAGGATGCTGCTGGCCTTCTTGGCCACCTGGGCGCACTGCTGGCTTACATTCAGCCAGCGGTCAACCAACACCCCCAGGTCCTTTTCTGCTGGGCAACTTTCCAGCCACTCTTCCCCAAGCCTGTAGCGCTGCATGGGGTTGTTGTGACCCAAGTGCAGGACCCGGCACTTGGCCTTGTTGAACCTCATACTGTTGGCCTTGGCCCATTGATCCAGCCTGTCCAGACCCCTCTGCAGAACCATCCTACCCTCAAGCAGGTCGACACTCCCACCTAACTTGGTGTCATCTGCAAACATTCTGAGGATGCACTCGATCCCTTCCTCCAGGTCGTTCATAAAGATATTAAAGAGAACTAGCCCCAATACTGAGCCCTAGGGAACACCACTTGTGACTGGCCAGCAGCTGGATTTAACTCCATTCACAACCACTCTTTGGGGTCAGCCTTCCAGCCAGATTTTTACCCAGTGAAGAGTATGCACGTCCAAGCCATGAGCAGCCAGTTTCTTTTATTTTATGTAATTTTTAAGCATACTCTTGCTGTGGAATTGTAGAAACGTGGATTGCTAAATTTGGGTGCATAGGTATAAAGGTCACTGGAATTATTGGATTTGCCTCACTTTGGGAAGAAAAAAATACATGATACCGAGCCTTTATGCTTGCTGCTGTTTGGTATTTTTGTGTATATGTGTGTGTTGTTTTTTCAGTTTTTGAATAAGAAACTTACAGTATAGTAGAGTTACTCATTAGACAGTCATGATTGAGAGACAGGTCATTTTCTGAAAATTAGTAGGTCATTTTCTGAAAATTAGTACCTCTCTGGAATGAGTGACGGTCAGAATTCAGATGATCATTAATTCTCAGGAACAGACGTTTGTTTGATATAGAGTATTAATTATCTTTATAGGCAAAAATGGATAGAAAATCATCCCTGGCTTATCAGAGGTGGGAAAAACTGCCTAGAACTGGGCTTCTCAAAAGCCCTTGACTTCACTGGGAACAGACTTAAAGCAATGGAAGAATTATAGCTTTGGAATATATCACTGTGAAACTGCCACAAAATTTTAGTAATGCTTAATTGAAATTCTTGGTTAACCCTTATGTGAGGAAGGAAACATGTCGTCTTTGTTCTTCCATGAATAAATACCATTTATAAGGCTAATGTGTGTAGGTCAGGATTTATATCCAAAGGTGTTCTTATTTCATTTTTTCAGTCATGCTACCCTTGTGTTGAGTTTCTTGACTAGCGTAAGGAGGCTACATCAGTCAGGAGGAAAGATCCTCCCAATGCAGTATTTTGTCTTTGATGGCAGATGGTGGCATATAGGTGCCAAAGTTCTGGAACAGAGGTTTTACAGAGTGAGACTTACCTGATAGACTCTCATGTCAGCCAGCAATTTGCAACTTACTCTTGACATAGATAGCACATTTGTATTAGCATCAGCAGTGTCCCATTCAGCAATGGTTCCCACAGTTCAATTGCACATGTATAAATGTATTGGGATTCTTAAAGTAGTCTTTAAATGCTACATGTACAAGTAGCAGTGCAGAAACATAGAAAAAAGGTGGTGGATGACATGCTTATCTGCTCTTTCTTCTATCAGGCGATTGAAGAACAGCAAAGCATCTACAGATGGCCACCGTTACCTTTTTCGGGGCAGAATAAACACAGAAGTGATGGAAGTAGAGAATGTAGATGACGGAACAGGTGAGTCTATTTGTGTTGCTTATTTACAGAACAGTCTTTCGAGGTGCTGAAATCAAACGGAGCTTCATGGTTTCTTTGAGAGTGGAGGCTGCTCCTTGTACTTAGAATCAGTAAGATGCCACTTTAAAAGCACTATCTGCTCGTATCAAAACTCTGCTTCTGTGACACACCATTACTTTCATACATTATTAGCTGGGCGGTCATAGATGACTGTTTTATGCTAACGTGGACAGAGTAATAAAATAAGGTGAAATTTATTGCTCAACTAAAATAGCATACTTAACTTCATTTTACAGCATTCCAGCACTCCTAAATAGATTATCCCTAGGTATGTGATATATTTGTAAAAGCAAATGGAAAACTTACCTCTGTTGGATTGAAACCTCAAGCACTATAAATGCTGAAATTATAACGTGTTTAAGAAAAGAGGAAGGGTTTTTTTAATACCATATGATTGCTTGACATTTTCCCAATATAAATTAGAAAAGTGAACCCCCAAGGTATTCTGACAAATTTTTGGTTTAGGAGGTTGAGTTTAACCTTTGAGCTTAACAATTATTATTTCCTTACAATTAGTAAGGAAAACCTGAAACATTTTGGGCTTTTTAATGTAAAACTAAAAAAAAATAATACTGGAAACTTGCAGTGGCATTGCAAATATGTAGGTCTGGATTAAATTCTCCTGATTTTAAAATAGCATTAGGTTTGCCCTACATCTACTATGGATTTTAAGCATTTCTTAATGTAATTTCTTCCTAAAATTGAGCATTAATTTGACAATAATTGAGCATAGTTGATGAGGATTGTACAGCTTAAGTAAGTTTTGTAGAAGTCTTTCATAGAAGTTAAATATTTCTAAAGAATCAAGATTGTTTTCTAATCTTGATTTCCTTGTTTTCAAAATTGTTTGCTCTCTTCTTTTTCTACTGAGTAGATTTGGAGAACAGTTTGACTATTGTTATTATTGCAACAAACTAGTTTATTGGAAGGCTGTTGTGTCTCTCCTCCATGTCTGCTTTTTAAGTCTTTCAGCCTTTTGTCATGGGTCATGTTTTCTAAGGTTTTATTACTTTTTGTGTCCTTTGGAGTTTCAGGGCTTTTTTCAGTTTGTTTGCATCTTTTGTATTGCAAGGTGTCCAGAGCTGAAATTTCGCTGGTGCCAAGTAGAACAGAACAGTTACTGTAGTGCTTCGTGTGGGATGTCTATTACTAATCCCAGGATTGTTTGCCTTTTCCGAGAGCATTATGTTTCAATCTTTCAGTTTGTGTTCCAGAATATCACACCAGATATTTTTGTGCAGTATTGATGCCTGCCCCATTGTATCTTATACTGTGTTAATGTCTGAGAGTAGGTCCTAAAAATTACTTTCTTTTCTGTACTGGATTTTATCTTACTGTTTCCACAATTCATTAAGAATTCAGAATTCATGTCTTGTTCCCAAAGCTCTTGAAATGCTTCTTGTCTTGGTTCCATGAACAAACAATGTTATTACCGAACCATTTAAGCTCTTGATAAACCTATTGGAAAATGCTGAACATAAGGCAGAGCACTGTGGCATCACACTTGATTTATTGTTTTTGTTTGCTAGACATTTTTGTAAGAACACCTTGACATCTGTTTTGGGCTATGTCCTTCACCAGGCCCACTGATTTAGTTAGTAGTTTATCTATGAATACACTATAATGAATTCATCAAGCCTCATGGACTTGAATATAATTTATCCAATATTCTATACCCTGCTATCTCCCTTTTATGGCCTCTATTCCTGCCCAGTTTTCAGCTTTATTTGTATGAAATCTCAGCTAGCACTTTGTGTATGCAAAAAAGAGAGTTGAGTGTTTCAGTGTTTTATGGCATGTATTATTTGACAACCTTTCATTTATTTTCCTTCATCTTCCTTATATATGCTTTAGAAATAAAAGGTGGTTTTCCTGTTTCCATTATGTCACTTTCTAAGATGTCATCTCTTTACTTAAAACTCTTGTCATTACTGTGGCCACATGTACCCACCATCTTCTTCCTGTTGAATATTCCAAGAATTCTGTAACTTTGCTGTAACTTTTTTCTTTCACTGGTTCTGATCCTACATATTACCACACTTCTAGTGTTGGCTTTAGCAAATATTTCTTCCTTCCTCCTTCCACAACTACCCTGTATTTCTCAAATCTGTTGTACCTTTCTTCATTTACTTGTTCCAGCTATCTGGTCCTTGATCTCTTTCACACTGTCCATTTTCCTTCCTGCCTGTTTGTTTTCTTCATCAGTGAATCTTCAAGTATAATTTGGCTAATCACAAATTGTCTTCCTCTCTACTCCAGACACTAGTAGTCTAATTTCCTTCAGCCACAGGAAATTTTGCCACTGTCCCCATTTCCTATAGCCTTGCACACAGTACTGGAGGCTGTCATGCTTCCTTCCCACTTGTGCTCTCGAGCCATATCAAATCCTGTCACTTTTATGTATGCAGTGTTTCTAAAATCCATCTTCCTTTCCACACTTCTAAGACATCAGTTAATGGTTTGGTTAATTTGATTTTTAGATTGTTCTTACCTGCTTTTTTTATTCATATCCCCACATTTTCCGCCTTCCCTGTTTCAGTTTGTCCAATAGCCTGAAATAGTTTTTTCTTGTAATTGCTACTATTTCATCCCTTCTGTCTATGGTTCTTTTTGAAATATGGAAATTTCTGTGTTATTTCCTTGGCCTGTGGCACCTTTCTGCTGTTTTCTTGCCACTTCTTCTCCTCCCCCCTCCCTTTTTTTCCCCTAAAAAACCTGTTTTATTTCCTTGTAGTCAGAAGTATATTCCCTCTCCGCACACTGATACTTTTTCTTTCACTCAGATCATGATGTCCTTCTTTAACCTTCCGCTGTCTTGGTTTCTGTACTGTTCTCATCTGTTGCACGCAGTTGTCTTGTGTCGCGTCCCCTGTAGTCATCCGCATCTGAACTGTAACCTGGTACTATTCTGCTGTGTTCTTTTTGTCTCATCTCATTCCCAAGTGTAGTAATCTGGTTGTCTGAGCCTCATTCACATTAGCTTTGCATGTGCTGCTTTTTGGTATTGTGTTATTTTCTTCTTCTTAATCATTTATTGCCTATCACTTTCTCTAATTCTTAATTTAGAATGCAGAGTGCTTATACTTTCATATCTAGGCATAACTGTTTCTCACGGACTCTTCATGAGTGTCTTTATAAGACATTAAAGACTTTTGAGTCTAGTCTAAAGAACTTCCACGGTTCTTTACTGTAGATTTTGGGATCCTCTGCTCACTTGGTGTAAGAAACCGTAGTGCTCCAGGGAACAGGGTAACCCAGAATATTTGCTCTCGGCATTGATAGATGTAGGAATGTAGCCTTCGTTGTTTATAAGTAGAAGCATAGAAATAGGAAAACAGATTCCCAGTGTGGTTTATTGTCATGCTAATGACATGCCTACAGAAATTAACAAAGCTTTTACTGAAAAGCAATTTTTCTTTGATTAAATTAGGCCTTGGCTGAGCAGTACAGTTGGTGGAAGCTTTCTATTTTGTTTCAGCATCCTGAAGCACTCTGCCTTTTTTTGATTGCTCTGATTAAAGTGGAATGCATATTACTTATCAGGGCAGACTATTTGTGTTCTTAAAACAATGTGGCTACACAACTACTTGCAAGTATTAACATATTGTGATGGTATTGTTTTTCTCCATTCAGTTTTTAAAATTCAGTTTGAGAGAAAAGTGTATTTCTAAAGGCATTCACCAGCCATTAAATGAATGTTACTTAGTTTATAAGGACAAGCAATTGAAATTTATGAAATACCAGATTTATGGTTGCTTATACTGTCTTAGTTCTGTCCCCTGTTGTCATGAAATGAGGCATGAAATAGAAAAAGCACTACACGATAATAGTAACCACAGACTCCATCAAAAAATATACAGAAGAGGAAGGGAATTGAGATTATGCAGCAGTTATTTCCTTGATATTTCTGAGCATTGGTACTCCTAAGAACCTAAAGTCTGAGAAACTTAGAAGTACTTCAATACAGAAATTTCTGTTTGTTTTTTTTTGAGGGGAGAAACAAATTCTCTTGTATGTGGCTGTAACAAATTGCTTGTTATGCATCTCTCAAAGGTTCACATCTTGAATTTTGAACAATATAGAATCATAGAATTGTTTTGGTTGGAAGAGACCTTTCAGATCATCAAGTCCAACCATTAATCTAGCACTGCCAAGTTACCACTAGCATCTAAGACACATGTCAATCATTCCCTGACTAGAGAACATTCTGGAAGTGGGGATAAGAAGGGTCAATCTGTATATTACAGTTCAAATTACAAGCTTTACTGTATTACCAAGTGTCATTAGAAGATGATGTCATCTTTCATGACCTTTTTTGGGCAAGCTGGAGGCTTAATGCGTGCTTGTTCAGACTTCGCACAGAGCGATTTGAAGTCTCATGCTGTTCTTCTTTCTGTAACCACTATGTCAGGTTTGCAAATCCTTTGTTTAGCCTGACTGGCAGCTGTGATTGCCTTGGTATGAAGAGTGTGCATATATCCCATGCAGCTGGCCAGTCACAACATACATTCCTCCTGGCTGGCTGGCCAGCACATCTGCAGCTCTTGACCAGATTTTGTCCAATAGCCGGTCCAAAAAGGGTATGAATTTATGTGGGAGGATAGCGTAATGCTGAAATGCTCTTCAGGAGACTGTGGGTGTGGGTGTATTGGGGAGAACAAACTGCTCACGGGAACCTTGGGGGATTGTAGTCCTGGGGAACACGGGGAGCAAAAGAGAAAGCAGGGGTGTTGCAGTGAAACGCAGAGGTTGGAATCAAGCTGGGCATCACAGGAGTGGGTTACTATTGCAAAATTGGGTGATAACTACCCATTTTCCTCCATCTGATCTCATTGCCATCTGTGTACGTTAGGCAGTCTTAGTACCTCGTTAGGTGATTGGGCTTTTCACAGGATTCAGTGAGTTTGTAGTGGCATGCGATACACGTGGTCAAACCGCCAGTGCTCTTGGCCCTGCAGTTGCAGAACTTCAGATGCCAAGGAAGCTGCGTGTTTAAAATGTCACCTCTACATTAAGATACTCAAGTGGTTGGATGAGCCAATTTTTTTCTGAACTACTAAGTTGACACCAAATTTCTGTCCAGAGTGAAATGGATGGATCTAAATCCATCATTTTGCAATTTTTTTGCCACAATTTTAACTGCTATGGTTCATTACAGTAGAGATCATAATACTTCCCTACATGACATGGGTGTTGTGATGATAGATAACGATAACAGAGACCACAAGAAAAATATCACCTTATAGTTTTATATGTATTAACCTCTCACTTAATAAATAAACAAAAAGGCGAAGCTAGTGCCATACTGCAAGTTTTATAAGTATATGCTTAAATAATACAAAGGGACCTTAACCTTCCTCCTGCCTCTGATCTCCAAAGGGCTGTCAGCTGTGAGCGTCTGTCTGAGACTTCTTTCTTTTCCCTGACTTTTAACTCTGATTTTCTGACAGTGCATGAATGATATGATGGCTAGTTTTCAAGTAACAGTGTTTTTAAAGGGACAAAGGATATTATGCATAGGTTATGTGAATAAAAATATGATAAATAGGTAAGTGGTATAAACATGGTGTTGCAAAATAACTTACTTCATTTTTTTTACCAGTCGTAGATTTGCTTGCACTTTCTGATACATTTTGAGTACTAGAAAGTTTTGTTGGTTTAGAAATTAGTCATTGGTCTCATGATTCTCTAGTAGTTCCTGACATTTCCCAGCCCGGTATACAAAGCTTGGCTGCTTTCCATCTAATTAAAATGCAGAGTTATTGAAAGGATACTAGCATGTCTACTGAGATTTATGATAAATCTTAGCAAGCATTTCAGCAAGGGTTTCCGTTTCGGAAAATCCCATCTCATTACACAAAACAGGGCTGAATTATGAAAAAGTATTTACAAAGTAAAAAGCTCTGTAGTTATTACAGTAGTTCAGGGCTGGCCCTAGGACTTTCTTGCCTCTTAGTGGAAGTTTGTGGTGAGAAAATGTTGACCTTTGATATTCTTAATATTTTGTACAGTAGTTGCTAGTTCTAGTTTTAATCTGTATTTTATGCAAAAAAATATATTTGTTATCATGAGGCATTTATGCCTCACAAATTTTCCCCCAGGAAATGCATGTAATCCTGGTGAAGGATATTCAAGGGTGTTAGTTTTGGAGAGGAAGTCTGTTTAGCTAATTTTTGAATAAGATTTAACTAGCATGTTAAAATCAAATGTTACAGAAGTAAAGAGAGAGTAATAAGTAGTAAATTGTCTGATTTTTGTGGCATAGTGGTTTACATGTTAAGAGTCAGAAGTTCAAGATACCTAAGAACATCAGCAATTGTTACCTCTATCCTGTAATGTGCATAGTGAATGTAGGGTTGTTAAGAACACGTTTCAAAATTTATGCATTTGGTTAATACTTCTTTTTTTTTTTTTTTTTTAAATCAGAGTAAATCTTGTATTATATTTCAGTTTATTTAAACAAGTAAGTGTAGGTATTTCTTTATTCAGGTAACCAGTAAAGATATATCAAATATATATTATTTGCTTGCTTGTTAAATGGAAATTGTGTTTTTCCCCCTGTATATTTAGTCCTTTAAAAATATAATAGTAAATCATTCAATCAGCACAGCAGCTCTGAATAATTTAAGGGGCAAAATAACAATGCTGCTTTTTTAAGGAATTAATTATTACAGTTTAACACGAACAAAAGTACTCCAAGTACTGTGATCTGTTATTTTAATAGGACACTGCCTGTTTTAGTGTCCATTTTATAGCTTCTTCCATATGCTTGGCAATTCTGCGTGTTACATTTTAAAAAGGACATTATTTACTAAAAGGTAAAAGTAAAGCTTAATAAGTTATAACATAGTTCACAAGTGGCACAGATAGCTTTAAATTCTTTTTTATTCTTCTGTATTTCCTGAGCTTTATGTGTAATGATAAGAGTTCTTAATAATTGTAGCAACTATCGCTCTCTAAGAATTGGTGTTCTTTAAGCCATTTTATCTGTTCCCAGCTGACTATCACAGCAGCGGCCACACTGTTATTAATGGCTGGAAGATCCACAACACAGCAAAGAACAAATGGTTTGTATGCATGGCAAAAACCCCTGAAGAGAAGCAAGAATGGCTGGAAGCTATTTTGAAAGAGCGAGAGAGAAGAAAAGGTAGGTTAATAAACTTCCTTGTGTTGCTTTGCCAGAAAGCCATACTGTATTTTTATGTCGAGATATAAAGCAAAACCAGCTGCTGGGCAAACTTACGGTGTCAGGTTCAGCTGAAGGTTTATGAATACCAGCTTGGAAAAAATAAATCAAACTTGTACTGGGAAGGGCATAATGGCTTGAATCATGTATGCTGGTAGTGAATGCTGTTTTGGAAATGGGGAGATGATTTAATCTCTGATTTTACAGCTCATTCTCAACCAGTATAAATTGCCATAATTTCATTGAGGCCTGCGTACTATTATGGTTTGTGGTATATGAGGTTCTATCCTAAATGCCTTGTGGGATTTGTATGAGTTGATTCCCTTGTGTGACTGGCCGTCTGAATCACGGAAATGAGCAGGTTTTGTGTTGGATCTTCATGCAGATGATCCAACATGAAATGGTACAGAACATACCCACAATCCCATCTTTGATTTATTCTTTCCTACCCAAGAAAGTAAAAAATCACCACTGGCAAACCACTGTCTTTGAATAACTGAATTAAGGAGGAAGAATACTTGGATGAAATATAATCCTGATCTCAGATGCGACCATGAATAACCTCATGTATTCAAGGTGAACCCAGCACACAGTAGAACCAGGGAAAGATGACGCATCGTCATCTTCTGGAGCTAATTTCATTTGCAAGCTAAAATATCCTAATCAGTAACGATGTTTGGAGCCTTGGTATTGAAAGAAAATATGACCTTGTAGTTAGATTTGGGATTCTTTTCCTGGTCTGCATAGATTTTCTGTCACCTGTTGCAGCGGGCGTAGTTTTTTGCCTCCGTTGTAAATGGAGATTAACAATACTTTCTTTGGTCTTTTAAAGTTGAGTACTGGATGTTTGTAGCACATCTGCCATAGGGCATAGTTTCAACTAGGGTGTCTGAGCACTGGCTAATTAATAGTGCCATAGAAAGCTAAGAAGATGCCGTAGAGGTCTAAAATCTCAACATTTTAACATAACAAATGAAAAATCAATGTGGTGGAGACAGTGTCAAATACAACAAAAACCAGTGGTTTTTGCTTCTGTATAGGGCCTTATCTGAAACTTGCTAAAAAGATTTTAACAAAGCCCACTTTGCTGTTGTTCAGTTTCTTGGATCTCTTAGACTTTTGATGCCTTTAGGTAAGAAATAGAAAGAGTAAGCAGGAATATTTTATGTTGATGTATTCTTCCTATTTCACACTATGCTATTGAGCAACTGGTAGTAGAGTTGAGTTTGAGCTAAACCTTGTAAGGTTGTGGTCTGAGGTAGCCTTCCCAAAGTTAAGCCATGTCCTAGGATTTTAGCATCCTATGATTTGGGGAATTTATCAGCTCCTGGTGTTTGCAGTGGATTTTGTTACTGAGGAGACAACCATGAAAGAAAGAGGAAAAGGACAGAGCAGGAGAGGATTTGGTATGCACTTAGACTCAGTTTGCAACACGGAATCTTCAGAAATATTTCTTGAATCTGTCTGTTAGTCTATCAACTTATAAATTTATCCACCTTCTCCAGCACAGTGATTTTTATTTTTTTTTTTTTCCAAAATATTTGTATAAGCACCTCTTACAAAGCAGGATGCATCAATTTAATTGCAGGCAGGTTGCCAAATGACTCAGGAAGCAAACAGCTATCTTTTTAGAATTCAAATGCTGTATCTAAATGTAGCTGTAAACACTTTCCCATTCCCTGTGAACATAAAGAGGCTTTAATTGTATGTTTACTTAGTAAGACATGGAGCCTGTTCACATGTATATATATAGGCAATTACAGTGAAGTCTAAGTGACTGCACATGTGAGAGCAGTGTTTTATCTCCTTTGCAAGTCTGAGACCGACTAAATCAAACAACCACACTTCTCAGATCTCTTGGGCTGGCAGTGAGGCTCATGTGAGTGACTCTGTCCTCATCGTGCTTTGTATGCCCGTGCATTTCTTTGTAGCGGTGCTGTAGACCCCACATCTCACGCAGAATGGCAGATTGCAGTGATCTCCAGCCTACATAAATACAGCATGTGGAGCAGGAGTGAGGCACAGAAATACATCTTGAGCATGCCACGTAACTGGGGCTAGCTGCGCTGTTCGTGTTGGGTAACTCAGAGATGCAATGTACTTAGGGAAACTCAAGCTATACTGTTATTTGGAATCCATATAGCAGAAGCTGAGCAAAAGGGAGAGAATACCACAAGTGAAATATTTTAGCAGAGATTTCGGTGGTTGTAACTGAATTATCAGCTAGAACCGCTTTATAGATTGTATTTTCTTGCTAGGAGAACTCAAGCTGGACTGAAAACTGCTTGCTAAGACGTCTTTCTGTCAGTTTTGGGAATTTCATGCAACCACCTGAGGCATTCAGCAAGTTAGAAATTTATTTAAAAGGTGATAGTCTTTGAGGCTGATGATGCTGTGATGACCTTCTTCAAACAGTCAATACAAATAAAGGCATCAACATCCTATAAGCTCTAAAAGTAGTATATTGGTTAAGTTTTCTTTTCCTGGGAATACCTCCGTTTTTCTCTGTGTGGCATCACCACTATCTGGCTCATGGATAATGAGGGACACTCCTATATCTGCGTTCAGTACCATTGTTAGCGTTTTCTTATCACAGGTACATTTTTTTCTGGCTATCTTTTTGGAATTAAAGAAGTGGGAGACGCTTAGTCAGATTGAATGTGTACAGTTACAGTTTTAAAAATGTGAAAATCTGAACAGAAACTGAGAACATGTACACAAGACATTCCAGAAATATGTGGGTTTGTCCAGAATTAAGAATTGTTTATTGAGAAGGCACATGGGATCTGAAGGTCTGTAGTATTCCTTGGAAGCCAAGCTTCTGAGAGTGGCCAGTAGGATGCATAATTCAACAAAAACTGGTTTTGATCATCTGTTACTCAGAAAACATAACGATTTTCTCAAAAACAGAATCAGGAAAAAATAAACCAGTAAGACAAGTTGTGTATAGGCTTTTGTGGAAAAGGGGTGAATTAATCTTATGTGTAGCAGATAACTAATTACCATTTATTGGAAATTTGAAAAAGCTTCCTTTAAGTGAAAACATTTCTATTATTACATGGTAAGAGCGAAACCAAGGCTCTTTTCTTTTAAACTTGTGAAGACATAGGTATTCCCCTGCAAATGTTTATATACTGAAGCCTGAAAAACACAGTGTTAGTATTTGTTACTACAGTATCAGTGGTGATGTCAATATAGTAAAAGTTTAATTTCACTATGAGGACCTTAAAGATTTCATTTGATTATGCTTTACGAAGATCAGATGCTCATGGTTTAAGTTCACTGTGAGAAGAATAATGGAAAACAGTTCCTTTACTTTTGTTTTGTATGTAAGATATTGGTATCACTTCTCCATTTTTGGGAAAAATACTGCATGTAACAGCAATATCACTTCATAAAATTTTAATGCATTTTTGGCAGGTCTAAAATTGGGCATGGAACAGGACACTTGGGTGATGATCTCTGAGCAAGGAGAAAGACTGTACAAAATGATGTGCAAACAAGGGAATCTCATCAAAGACAGGAAGAGGAAATTAACGACTTTCCCCAAATGCTTTCTTGGAAGGTATTATATGCATTTTCTAGCATGAATTTTAACCAGCTAAAACCACATTTTAAATCTTCCTTGGGATTTTCTGGAAACCACGCTTTATTTGTAATGTCTGTTAGGCCTATTTGCCTCCCAGCATTTAGCCAAAATGTAAATTGGTCTGCCTGAAATTTATGGATGTGTACTTGTATTCCAGAGTAGCTTTATTAAAGGGACAAGGCTGCAAAGTCATGTTGAAAATATGAAAATACATCAAATAAAATAGTTTCTTTAAAGAAATAATTTGAAATTTGTTTAATGCATTTTGTCTCTGCAATGCCTAGTTTAGAGTATCCAATTTGCTTTATTCTGCTTAAAAGAAATCTCTGTCTATAAAACTGTTTCTGTCCTCTTCTTGCCTGAATGTCAGGGACAGAGTTACTAAATAAATATTACATGTTAAAAATTTATGCAAATTATAAGGAAGGTCTTTATAATGCCATATTATACCTATGGGTTAAGAAGGCTTAATGTAAGAGAAAGAAAATAGGTACCCTAAAACTGTTTATATGACAGAAAAATTATTTTAGGGGTCCGAGGGGTTATCACTTAATTCATTTGATCATAAGACAGTTAAGTATGGAAAGTATTTTTATAAAGTACAGTGACTGTTTTACACAAGGATGTTGTAGTGAAGATACTCACCACTGGGGTCAAAAGTGGAAATCAAACTTGGGAGACTTTCATGGGCTGTCAGAAGTCACATAGCTGATGAGAATTGAAACCAGGATTAAGATCAGTGAATGAGTTGTGGTTGAGTCGTGTTCCCCTAGTGAAGTTGTTGGAAGCAGGTAAAGAATACGCTGATGGTGAGAAGGCACGTGTGAAACACTTAAACCTGCCATCAAATGGCTGCTTTTCTATGCTATCTTTGAAGTGGACCCTTTTGGAGTAAACTTTTGCTGTTCGCTGGGTCACCAGTTGAAACCCATGAATGTGCATGTTGCACTGTCTCGCTACACCGTTCTGTTTATTTGTAACATACATGCAAATATCTTACGTGCTGTAAATTCGATGTCTCTGAACTGCATCAGGTTTATTGTGATACAAGTCATGTATTTCCTGCGTATGCAGTATATACTTTGTGAATGTGCTCAGGATGCCAATGAGCCTGACACACCTTGGAAGTAACAGGGCTACTGTTTGATCATACTGCCATTATGTTCTTCCTTCGTGGCATAGCTGCCCTGGGCAGGTGCAGTAGGTATGCTTGGGATTGCCTTATATTTGACCGTCTGGTCAAATGTGGCTGTACTAGTTTAGGAGATCCCAGAAAACATGGAAAGTCTTTACCATGTGCAAGGTAAACCTCATGGAGGTGAAACTTATGAGCAGAAAAGACAAGACATCTCAAGGGAAACCACATGTATTTATGTTGAAATAATAAAAAGGTTGAAATGAGTGGGGGTTTTAAAGGTGGTATGACATTCTGGAGATCATTAGGCTTAAGAATTACTTACTAGGTTAGTAAGAAACGCTAGTAACCGAGAGGGAAATGTAGCAGATCTGGTGGTATGACATTTAAAGTTTGTTTTTTGTATCTGTTTTTATTTCAGTGAATTTGTGTCCTGGTTGTTGGAAATTGGAGAGATACACAAATCTGAAGAAGGTGTTCATCTTGGACAAGCTTTATTAGAGAATGGCATTATCCATCATGGTAAATATAATTAGTTTTAACTTACTTGTTTTCAAGGTAATTGTTGTAATTAGAGTGGACTTAATTTTGTTTGAGAAAAAGATGGTCTTGTTAACGCAAGACAGCTTGTTGAATCTGCATTATATCCTTGCAGGGACCTCATGGGGACATTGTCCATGCCTAACAGATTTACTGGGATAGGCTCCATTGATTTAATCTGATTACATCTATGCTGTTGGGATCACAACATTGCAAACAGGGACCTGGAGAAACATTGCTATTCTCTTGTAAGCAAAAATAAATTCTGGGGGAACAGAGAATGGTAGACTGCTTTTAAGGATTTAAGCCTTCTATTAAGGCCAGACTTCTTAGGGATACATGCTCAACTAAGAATTGTAGAAGACAGTGAGTCACAGTTGGCTGTTGGTAAATGTGCCTGCTCATCTGTTAGGTATTGCAGGTGGAGCCGGTGGAATCCAACCTAGAACCCAACAGTTTTGAATTTTAATGCCTTATTTTCACTACATTGTATAGTTACTAAAATTCATATTTTTATGTGGAAACTTTCAGTCAACATATGTGTTTAGCTCATTCTGGAGAGAAGTATTATTAAAGAGGTTCAGTTTTTTTAGCCTATTAGGTTTGATTTCTGGAGGTAATTTGCATTGGCAACTTTTTTCTCGTACCAGAGCAGGTACTCACCTCTGTTTCTTTTACAAGGGGTAGTCCAACAAGGCCATATAAGTGAACTGAAGTCATGTTTGGCTTAACAATAGGTACAGTCACTTAAAAAAAAAAAAACCACAACCAAAAACAAAAACAAAACCCCCCCAACAACAACACAAAAACCCCAAAACCAAATAATGAAACAAAAACCCCCAAATAATGAAACAGTTGGGAAGTTAGCTACTGTTCCAGCATAGATCCTAGGTGCAAATTTAGATGGACTCATTGATGATATACATTTTAATACTTCTATATTTCATCCAGCAATGAATTTAATGCTTACTTTTTAAGTTCTTTGCCATGATGTTTTCAATGTCCTTGACTGGAAAGGAAGCAGGAGTAACAGAGTGCACTTAGCTGTATGCATTTTAAACATACACAGAGGAGGAGAAAAAACATTACGGTTATTCATCAGTGGTTATGTAGTCTTTAATTCTTTAATGTCAGTCTACATGATTTTCCTCCACCATCATTCAAATGTCAGATGCTATTATGTTTACTACACACACAGAGTTGTTTTCAATGGAATAATTCTGTTGCCAAAGATTCTTCTCCTGATCTTGTAATTTATATCCCAAATACACTCATAGACTTTGTCAATACAGAGTTAAATGAATATTGTGCAATTCCATGAGATAAAAGGGTAATTATATTAAAGCATAGAAATGTGAGCCAGACATGCTACTTTGAGTAGTGGATCCAGCTGTGGTTCAGTGAAAATAGAATTCTTAAAATAAAGTTGAATGAACCATCTGTTTTCACAGAGGGAGCAAGGGAGAAAGAAAGTTTGGCTGTTACTCACATTGCAAATGTTGTGGAGGGCTTTGTTAGACTTTGCATATTCACTGTGCTGGCCGTTATTTTCACTGTGCTGGGCTTCATTCTAGCAATGCCAGACCCATGTTGTGATGGGCATTGTCTTACTTCCTGATGTGTGAACTCTTGCAAGTAGAAAAGTTATGATTTTCCCTTGGTTGTTGGTTTGTTGTTTTTTTTTTTTCCCCTCCAATTTTGCAAAAGGGAAAAATCTGTGTGTTGCTATTTTCAATCCACCTGGTGGCATTCTCTGATATCTGAAATGACTTATATCAGCCTGTGGGCTGAGATACTTTGTCCAGTCGCTGCTGATGATTAGAGATGGAAGCTTCCTCTCAAGGCAGTAAGGAGCTTTGTAGTTACAAAAATAATCTGAATATCAGATAGTTTTAAAATTAATGGGTATTTATATGGCTGTGCAGTTTCGTGGAATGATATGCTGATCTGAGTCAAAATTACCCTGGCAAAAAAAGTAAAGACCAGTTTAAACCTGGATCAGTTCCCTTTTCTTAGTGTGTGCCATATAAATATCTATCCCAACACAAAGTATGGGTACATTATTGGGAGCGACATACAAAACAACTTAGAGTTGCTTAGCGTGTTAGCAGCTTTAAGTGTTTGAAACTATGGCCTTGCAAATGTATAGCTGATTCTAGTTAAAAGGAAAGTTATACAGCAAGCTAAATGTTTTCATATTTTTTAAGGTTTCCATATTAGTACAGTAGCTGCTAGATCATCTATCCTTCCTCTTGAGTATAACAAGCTAAATCACATCTATATCATAGAAAACAACCCCCCCCCAAAACCAAATAGTGATTTACATCTTCCCTCACAGCATTCCTTGGATATCTGTGGTGTTTTACACAATACTGTAGTTGGAAGCATCCTTGTCTGGTTTCCTTGCTTTCCAGAGCTCAGGATGTGCCGGCTCTGTGGACCTGCTCCCCTAGTTTCTGGTGCCTTGTGTGTAAGTAGGGGCTGCAAAGACATAGCTGTGCTTGTGTTCCTCAGAGGGCAGAGCCTGCTCTGTTCGTTGTGGGCATGAAAGGATGGAAAGGTGTTTTGGAGTCCTGGTTCCCTCCTTGTGCATCTCTGTAACTGTGAGGAACAATTTGGCCTTAGGCAATACTGTCCTGCTGCTCGGTTTTTCTATTTTCTGTAGTTGATGGTTTTAAAACCTCTTAATGTATGCTAATCTAGTGTAATATATTTTTTCTCTGACAGTAGGAAATTATTTTTAATTGCAGGACTAGAAGCTATCTTTTTTTTTTTTCTGAGTTAAATGGTCACAATTGATTAAAATTCATTTAGATAGTTACACTGGGCATTGTATGTGAAAATTTTGTAGTCTATATTTGATGTCTCGAGAAGCAATGATACGTAAAAGAGCTTAGGGGTTATTTTGGATAATCACCTTAGCGTGAACCATCAGTTCAAGGCAGTTGGAGTAGTGTCCTGGGCTTTACTATTAGTAGCTATATCAAATACAGGTATAGAAGTTATTTTGCTCTTGCACATGACACTGGTGAAACCACTTAATAGATGAAGTCCAGTTTTTATGTCCATGGATCAAATCATGTGTGGAGGTACTGAAGAGCTTGAAGGGGCATGAAAAATGATGCAGACAGAAGGCACCATACTTTGCAAAGTTTATGGTGCCTAACTAAATTTTTTGAAGAGAATAAGGGATGATGGTTTAATCACTTGGTGTAGGAAGGCATGCACAGAAGAATTACCTAACACTGTCAGGTGTGCTACTCTGATTAATGAAGACATTACAGTAGCCTCCTTTATCAGTTGATGACATGCAAATTTAGTTTCAAAATTAAAGCTTACATCTGCAAGCAAAACAGTAATTAATACAAGTTGTTTATCCTAGGATGGTGCTAGTGCCTAGTGCTGTCCTCAGCCATCAAATGAATCAGCTTTTTTTTTTTTTTCAGAAAGTCTTGCTGTAGTACCTTTTCCAGGAAAAGTTTGGTATCATATGATGTGTCTGTTTTGACAAAACACTTGAAGTTGTGAGGTTGTTGTTGGAGTCTTGTGAAACTCTGGAAATTGATGTTAAAATCCTTTTTCATGGGTCTTTGGGGAAATGGATTATCAACACCTTCATAATCATAGAATTGTAGAATGGTTTAGGTTGGAAAGGACCTTGAAGATTATCGAGTTCCAACCCCCTGCCATAGACAGGGACACCTCCCACTAGACCAGGTTGCCCAAGGCCACGTCCAGCCTGGCCTTGAACACCCCCAGCAATAGGGCCTCAACAACCTCCCTGGGCAACCTGTTCCAGTGTCTCACCACCCTTAAAGTGAAAAACCTCTTCCTAATGTTTAATCTAAACCTGCCCTCTTCCAGTTTATATCCATTCCCCCTCGTCCTGTCACTACATGCCCTAGTAATGATTGCAAGTCTCTCACACTGAAGACCTGCAGCCGGCTGTGTATAGAGGAAGATGTTCCCTCTCCCTTTCCTCCCCAGTGCAAGACTGGTCGGTTATGTTTTAGAGGGTTCATATCTTTAACTCATCTGATGTTGACCTCTGCAAGAATTAGAACAGAGAACAACGTGGAACAATAGTATGAATAGTTGCAAAAGAAGCTTTATTTGGCTATTTGGTCAATAAGCTTTGCAAAAAGCACCGAAGACTAGAGCAGATTTGAGTGCCTAATTTTTCAGGCTGTTCCCCACCTGGTTGTCTTTTTTATTCTTTGCCCTGTGACTTTAAATTGTTTGATTCCTTCTGGACTGCTTAAACGTAGTGAGAAATACTGTCGCTGGTGACATAAAGGTACTTAGGGCAGATGATCTAATTGGGCTTCCTGCCCTCCCTGTCTGAAATCTACCTATTGCTGTGTAATGGGCTGTTATTAGAAGAAATGGTGCTGGCTGTCTTCTCTCTTGTTGTTTTCTTCAGAAAGTCACCTAATAATACATTACTTTTTTATTTTTTTTAAATGTAGTTACAGATAAGCACCAATTCAAACCTGAACACATGCTGTACAGATTCCGATATGATGATGGAACATACTACCCCAGAAATGAGATGCAGGATGTGATCTCTAAGGTACAGCATAGAACAGTTGCTATTAGTAGGAAGAACACGTCAGAAATGGCGGTTCTGTTTAAAATAGAATGTAAAATATTATGCTAGGATAAATAACATCCCCTTGCAATTGTCTGTCTCTATGTGAATCAAATTCAGTTTTCTGTTTGTAGGGGAAAATTCTGGCCTGTTTTTACACATTTTAATTATAAAATTCAATTTTTTTTATTTTTTAGTTATTTTTGTTATTTAATGGTTTCATATGCAGGATGCATTGCCGGTGTTTCTGGGCGATTCTGAAGCTGGTGTTTCAGTCTATTGTATTTTTTAGTCCATTTTAGTAGATACAAAGCTATCTGTAGAAAATAGTTTTAAATTTTCTGTTAAATCTGAGTGTCTTTTAGTGCCTTAACAAGGCAGTAAATCTGCAGTCACATAGATGTTTAAACATAGGTAATGCTATCCATCCACACTACTGAGCATAGCAAAATGATTGAATGAAGTTGCCTTTAAAATAATTAATATTCGAACTTTTCATGATTTTGAGGCAGTAGAAGATGTCAGCATTTGGGTATTATATTACAGTGTAATTCACTTTTCTGCTGGCATTTGTTAATGTAAGGTATATCTAGAAAAATCTTCACTACTGAACTACTAGGCACAGCAAAGTAGGATGGAATCTAATTTGACACAACTTTTGATTGTTACACATAGTTCTTGCATGTTATAAACATAATTTTTTTTTGATAGTCTGCTAAGGAATACTAATGTGATTTCTTATTTTAAATAACGTTTTCTTGTGGTAGTTTCTTAAACTCCTCCAAGTGTTTTATTTTTTGTTTTTACTTGAAAGCATTTCCAATCTTTGAATCTTTCTGCATGTTTTAAAAAAGTTTGTTGGTTATAATTTCAATTTCTAAGTAGAGTATCGATGCATATAATCAAATGCACTGGTTTTTACTTTAATTACTCACTTTGTGTGTAGAGTAGCAACAGTGGTTGGGAAAACCTTAATGCATGGAAACGCTGCTTTACCTTTCAGGTTTTGTGTACTTTTCTTTCAAAGTACTATATCTTAAGAATTTTTTAATGCTACTTTAAAGCTAATCCTTTTTGCATGTGTCTCAGTGAAACTTAGATTAGATTGGAAATGTTTTCTTTCTCATAATTTATTAACCCATATTATTATCTGGGAATATTAAGTTTTGGCACATGAAAATATATAGAAGGTTGAACAGACTTTTTTTTACTATCTAAATGAAGTGCATTTAGAACATATAGGCTTCTGTACTGCATCAGTTCCTCTTATGTTCTCTGTGGTGAGAACGTGTGGTTAACCTCATCTGTCTCTTTAACAGGGTGTACGGCTGTACTGTCGCCTTCACAGTCTGTTTACCCCAGTAATTAGGTGAGTCCAATTGGGAAATCCTTAGAGAGTCATTCAGAAGAAGTATATAATCTGAAGATACTGTGTTTGCATGTAGGAACCTAACCCATCCTTTCAAGATCGGTCTCTTGGCAGTAATCAAACAAGATTGAAGGGCTATCAAGACAAAAAGCATAACTGAATCATTAAATGACTGCAAACACCGTTCAATATGACCTTTTTTTACAGAATTTTAGAGCCTTCTAGGTCCTGATGGATACGCTTATATGCTTACTGTATATATTCATATAGTCCTTTACTAACACTCCATTACCTCCTTTGGAGGGTCCCAGCTGTAACAAAACAACTGCCTTTATACTCCAGAGACATTATCACCCCAGTAAGATATGGTCTGTGTCCTCCTTTCTTTCTACACTGAAACGTTTGACTTGTTCCTTTACTCCAGAGGCAACTTCTGAACCATTATAAAACGCTCGATTCATGTTTACACTAACTTGTTTACAAAACACAAGGTTTTTTTCGGTTAGGCTCTTTTGAATTTTTGTTTGAATTTTTTTTAAATTGTTTTGTTTTGAACAGGGATAAAGATTATCACTTGAGAACCTACAAATCTGTGGTCATGGCTAACAAACTCATAGACTGGTTGATTGCACAGGCAAGTGTACACTTTTGGATTTGTGTACGTTTTGCGTTTAAATTCTAATTTGAAAGGTAGTGATGTATTAAGCAGAATAACATGCAAACACTTTGTGTAAGGGTTATTAGAACAGCGTGTGTAAGTGTAATCCTCTTAAACAAGTAATGTAACAAAAATCAGCTGTCAGCAGCCATGCTGTTCATCCCTTTTGTGCTTATCTTCCTTATTTGCAATTGAACTTTAAATGTTTTAATGAGACTTAGCTTTGTGATTCAGCCCATAACATTGTTCATGGCTTAAAATGAAATGTATAGGCTCTGAAAAACTAAATTACTAACTAGATGGATAAAAGTCAGTACCAATTTGCTGTTATCAGTTCTGTTTTATTTTAAGCGAACTAGGAACAAGAACAGGGTATCCTATTCGCTCAGTCAATACACACCAGTTTTATAAAATAAAAGTTAAAAGCTTTGACAGTTTTAGATTCTATTACGTTCAATTTTTATGGAGATTGCCATGTTACTGAAAGTTTACATATTTATTTGTAATTATAAAGAGGTGTGCCATATAAAGGTCCCTTCCAACCCAATCTATTCATTGATTCTATGATAAACATGTATATACTGCTTTATATGTATGCTATAAATGTGCATATAAAGGTCGCAATGGTAAATATAATCCACAACCATTGCCAGCCCTGTGAGGTTACACTATTGTGCATAGAATTCATTTTGGTGCTATATTAAAATATATTAAAAAAAGAAAATGCTATGGTTTGACAGGGGGATTGCCGGACGAGGGAGGAAGCTATGATATTCGGTGTAGCTCTTTGTGATAACGGGTTTATGCACCATGGTAAGTAAATACATTCTGTACAAGCTATGCTTACCTTTTTTTTAATGCTGTCTACACAGTTGGAAGGAAATGTAGGGACCGGTAAAGATATTACAGAAGGGACAGGAAGTTGTTTCATTGAATCGCTGAAGAGACCTATGCTACAATCTTCAAGATAAAAAAAATACCTATTGTATACTCTGAAAATTATTTTCAGTCAGTTTTATAGCATGTACTGAGAAATTCATCATCTGAAAGATTGGGGGGGAGCAGTTTTATTAGCTGCTTTGAAAGAAATTTCTTAAGCAGGTAATGCATGTTTGTGTAGATGAGATGATGAAAATTTAGGAAATATGTAGGAAAGAAAGGAGACATTTTTGGAGGAATGAATAAAGTATGAAGGAGCATGTCTTTAAAAAACTGAAATGGTGACAATAAGAGAAAGTGGACTGTAGAAAACTCAGAAAATCATAATGACAGCAGTGAGCAAAGAAGAAGGGAGAGGAAAGCGGAGATGTGTGCAGTACCAAAAATGAGGTGAACAAGGTCTCATTTAATACCATCAGAGGGAAGATTTCAGTGAAAAGATTGAAGCAGTAGGTCATTTACTGAAATGAAAAGAGGAAGAAATTATTTTCTCATCAGCTTGTTTAGAGAAAGAGGGAGAATTAACTTCCTCTCTGGCACTGTTCATTCTTCTCCCTTTAACTTTTAAACATGCAAACTGCATTCATCTGCTGCTCTAGTTGCTTCCACATCCCCACCAAACCTATCTCTAATACTGAACCTGGCATGCTTCACCACCTGGAGAGTGCCAGAAGTTGGTGGTGAGGATCTCCAGCAGCTGTCCAGCAGAACTTTTCCAAATCATGTTTTTAAATCCTTTTTAGGAAAAAACCTCGTGCTTGGCATTTTCACTAAAACCATTTCAGGCTAATGTGTCTTGCTCAGCTTGGTGGGATCCAGATGTAATTGAAAATGAGCTTAGTGATACCTATCTGTAATGGATCCAAATAAAAATCATGTTTATGTTAAAAATGAAGATTTCCCTAGATTTACACACAAAAATAGCTTGCTAGCATTTAATATGTGCATGCATGTTCAGTATTTTATGATTCATAAAAGACGTGATATTCAAAAATTCAAAAGGAAAAAAGGATTAATATGTGTGGTTTTGTATCATACAGTGTTAGAGAAAAGCGAATTTAAAGATGAACCGCTACTGTTCCGTTTTTATGCGGATGAAGAAATGGAAGGGTCAAATATGAAACACAGGCTCATGAAACATGATCTGAAAGTAGTGGAAAATGTCATAGCCAAGTCATTACTGGTGAGTGAATGCAAATGATTGTATGCTTTAATGAGTAAAAAAACCTGGTTGTAGCAACAATATATTAGCAAAGTGTATTGTTATTTAATGGGGACATAATTTAGCTCTTCTTCATGCCTTTCTGAACAATATTTTGAACAATTTTATTTTTCAGATTAAATCTAATGAAGGCACCTATGGTTTTGGTTTAGAAGATAAAAATAAGGTGCCAATTATTAAAGTGGTGGAGAAAGGATCAAATGCTGAGGTATCAAGTATTATTAATTACCTTCGTTGTTTTATTCACTTGATCACAGGTGTGTGTTTTGTACATCAGTTAGGAAAATCTGTAGTAGTAGAAGGTAACAATGACAACTTTCCAAGAAAGCTGTGGTTATGAATCTTTTTTTTTTTCTATTTTTTCTTTGGTTTTGTTTTTTTGTTTAAAATATTGCTCTGACCATTATCAACAATCATTTTCTGCTCAGGTAAATTGTCATATTGAGTGATGATATAAAAATGATAATTTTATTTTTGTACATTTTATAATATTCCAGTGATGACATTAATCATGAGTGGAATAAACATTTTTGGTAGTACATAAAATGAGTATAAAGCTAGTTTGACAGTTGCACATGATATATTTCATAATAAAGAATATATCGAGCTTTGGATAAAGACTAGAATTTGAGGATCTGAATGAATAAATTACAGCCTTTCTGTTTGTTAGTATTGCTTTAGATGCTCTTTCAGTAAATTCATATTCTACTGAACTGTGTGGGAGTCTCTGTACATGTAAAGATAAAGAACGAGTCTCTTCGATTAGAGAAAAAAATCAGGCCTAGATTTCAAGCCTTTCTAAATCTCATGGTGGAATATAAATTTAAGATAAAAATAGATCAACAATATAATAGAGCCACACAGAGCTATATCCAGGGTGATTTCTAGCAGTCAGGTTCTGCCCTGATCTCAGACGATGCCAGGGCTTCGCCTGTGCCCGGAGCCGCTCTGTGTACTGCTGCCATCCAACCGGTTATGGTTCCTTTCGTGTTAGACCTGAGTTTAAAAACTGTATGCAATTTGGCTTGCCATACCTTTGGCTCAAAGGCCACGTAACGTTCAAGGATATTGTTTTGTTTTGGAACTTAATAAATATCCACTTCCTAAAATAGTAGTCAGGTCTTTTCTTATGAAAAGACGCTTCAGTTCCTTTGGAGAATGATGGATGGACAAATTAGGTAACATCATAAAAAAATAAACTGGCTCAATGAAAGCTGTTGTGTTAATTATTACAAATATTAACTGATACTGTAATACTGTCATAAAATCTTGATTAAGTCTAGGTCTTGTATTTAGGTCTCTTCAGAATGAGTGTTTACCCTTCGGGTCAATTTAACCAGTTCTAGAAATGCTTTGTGGTGTGTCTTTTGTGCGTGGTATGTGAAGAAGCCATAAAGAACGTAAAGGAAATGTGCATGTCATTATTCCTATTGGGGTTGCATGCCAGCAGAAGATGACATCATGTTAATGGTTATAAAAGGCAGACATATACACAACTGTTATTGTTTTCTAGATGGCAGGCTTGGAAGTTGGGAAAAAAATCTTTGCCATTAACGGTGACCTGGTTTTTCTGCGACCCTTCAGTGAAGTGGATTGCTTCCTGAAAGCATGTTTAAACAGCAGAAAGCCCCTGCGGGTTCTTGTGAGCACTAAACCACGGGAGTAAGTTGTCATTTCTCTGGGGGAATTTTTATGAACTGCAATTGAAGTGAATTTTAAAAGACCAGTGGAACTTCAGACAGCACTACTGTAAAGTTGTTTTAAATGCTGTATCTAATCTGACTTTGTAAAGTCAAGCAATTTGATCTGCTTTGATTTTGTTTTATTACACTTGTCAGTCAGCAAAAGCAGAACGCAAGTGCTTTAGATCATCAGCTCTGCCACTTGAAATACGTGCAGGAACCGCAAGTGTAAATGAAGTTTCCTTGCCTGTATGGATAGTTTTGATCACTTATCTCTCACTGTGTATATTAAACAAGTTCCTCTGTCTGGGGGTTAGTAGCTGGTTTGGCAGAAGTCGGACTCCGTGATCTAATGGGACTCTTCAGCGTGTGTGTTGGTTGTGTAAACAGCAGGAGCAAGTAAACAGCTCCCCATCTTTAGATGAGACATGCATTTCTGTACTCAGTTTTGACCATTCCTACCTGAATGCAAATATTGTTACGTAAACAAAAGCCAAAGTGAGGCTTGGTGGCTGGGTTCAGAAAGTACCTAAGTGAGCATAGGTTTATTAATAAAGTTAATGCAGTTGTTACTGGTTTATACATACCAGAGGAGGAGATGAAGAAACAGTAGTCAGGAGTGATTTTGAGCGAATTTTGCAGGGTAAGGAGGAACCATCCTCTGTTAGCAGATAGTGCACACGGAGTGCCTTCGAAATGGCTCTGGTTCAACAGTAGGACAGAGACGTATTTCTCCTGTTAATAAGCAAAGGTGTCTTGAGAAATATGATGGCACCCAGAAAGGGGAAAAGAGAAAAGAAAGAAATATGGCATCAAGATAATCATCTGGACTGACACTCAAAAAAAAAAAAAGGCCAAACAAAAACAATAAAAAAATCCCCCAAACCAGTAGATGATAGTGTTGTAGCAAGCATAAAAGGCATATCTTGGCCTTTCTTTAATGTAGATCTTGGTTCAGTTTCTGACACAGCTTGCCAGTGAAAATGTGGGCGAATTTCAAGGCTGGCAGAGATGATCTAGTGAATGAGGAGTTCAGAGGAGTTGAAGAATTTGTTTCTCAGTGGTGCCTGCTTTTTATCAGGAGCTGCTACTAACAGAATTGTGTTGGCAGAAGAGACGTTTCTCTCCTAAATTCTCAGCCTAAACAGCCAGTGATAGTTTTTCATAGCTCATTAGCATGTTCAGAAAGCAGTTTCAGAATGAAACCATATAGTGTATCAACCTTAGTTAATATATAAGTATACTAAAGGATGCTATACTTATGGAAATATTTCAAATGAAAAGTTATTAATGTCAAGAACATTCTAATATTTTTTAGAAAAATGTAGACTTCAGTGGGTTTTGGTTCTCACCTCTGCTGATAGTCATCTCCAAATGCTAAAGATTATGTGTGCCAGAAATAAAGAAAATACAAAAAATGATGCAATTATATTATTCAAAGCTACCTGTAAATCAAGTTTATTACAGTCCAAACGTATTTTAAAATCACTTTTCAGCACTGATTTGAATTTTTCTGCTTTTGCACTTTGGCAAATGGAGCTCAGGGCAAAGATCCCTTAAATAATAACGGAGCTGGCTCTGTAAGTAATGGCTGCAAAGTTAGATCAGTGGACTGTTATGCATGACCTGACTAGCTCTGATAAGGGCTAATGCAGCTGTGTTGCTTTTTCTGGAACCTGAGCTGATACCATGTGGATATGCGAGCTTACTTTGGGGCAAGCTCAGGGCTTCATTTCAAGGAGTAGATGTGAATTTTGCTTCTCAGAACTGTGTTTTTGTTGGTTGTGTTTGTCAGTAGATTTATTACTGTTGCACTTAGACCAAGCGAGAGCACAGCACAGTGTGCTTACAAGTTATATGAGTAGTAGGTGGTTCTTACTTTACAAAACTCAGTACTTTGCGTAGCTGCTCAGAAAAACCAAGCAGACACTTAGATGTTAATGAACTGTAATACTGATCTAGTTTCTGCAGTCTTCTGCACCTCATCTGACAGAGCCTGCCATGATCTGTGGTCCCCAGGCTCTGTCCTCGTGGCTGAGAGGCTGCCTGCCTTCCCAGGGCTTTCAGTGTTGCTGTGCTGTGGCAGCTTAGCCAAATCACCGTCCCTTTGGCAGGAATTTTAAAGCTATGGTGGTGCTTCGATCGTAATTGGCGTATTGAATTTCCCTGCAAAATAGTATTGCCTTCCTTTGATTGGTTTCGGTGTCTCAGCTTGCTCTTATTTCTGACGTCAGTGGTGCAAAGTATCTGGAATTGAATGGTGCTGAATCTGAAACTGGGAATTGAATGGAAGCGTGGAGTCTTACACCCTTGTAACCTACTTGTTGGTGTCCACTTTTATCTTGAATAAGAAAATGCTACCTTTTGCTACACTGATATTGAACTTTTGCTTGTATCAGGACAGTGAAGATTCCTGACTCCGCAGATGGACTCGGATTCCAAATCCGAGGCTTTGGTCCATCAGTTGTTCATGCTGTTGGTAGAGGTAAGCTGTAAAAGCTGTCAACAGTAGTGGGAAATACACATTTAATATCATGACATGACTGAGATAAGTCAAAATTAGGCCCAGTGATTCAGCTTAGACTTTTGTTTTTCCCCAGAGTAACAAACATTATTAAATAAACCCAAATAAGATTATTTTGTGTTCTTATACTTTATAAGCTTTGGATAGATTTTCTGGCTTTTTTTTTGGAGGGGTGGTGGTGGGGAAATATGTATTTATACAAATGTAGGAAAGTTAACTTAAGGCTGTGCATTCTTTACAGACTAAGGAACAGCTTACAGATGCAAAATCACCTTCTCCAGTGAATGGGTGTTGGGAACCACTCACTTCCTGAGTGTTAATTTGTTAGGTGGCCAGGTGGTTCTGCAATGCTCTGAAAACATTTTGCAGAAAATGCACTTTTCACAAACCTTTTCAAGGGTGCTAGTGACCTAGTCTGTCTTAGTAATCGCAGATGTTTCCTCTAAATACTGTTTTGTCCATTTTGTGATGTGATTGTCAAATACATGCCATCCCTAACTCGGTATGTTACTGACGGGTGCACTGGTAATAAAAGAAGTTGAAGTATTCTTTGTTGCTGTCACATGTTGGTAATGGTAGAGCCAACTAACACTGTATTTTCAGCTATTGTAGGGAAGTTGTGTCCTTTCCCACCCTCGTCCCTTTGTAACTGAAGAATTTAAAGTGAACCGATCTGCAAAGCAGCCAGATTTGAACAGAGCTCGATGACTTTTTCCTAGGCTATGGTGCCAGAAATTAGATTTTCAAGAGAAAGTCTAATAAACTACAGACTGTTGAGCTGATGTGATAATTATTTCTGCACCTGGATCTCAATTCAACTGCCTATCCTTATTCATTAAGCACATACTTTATTCCAATTAGCCTCAACAGTGTATAAGTGCTTGCTTGTGTCGTTTGCTAAACCTGAAAGATTTTAAGCATATGCTTAAATACTTCCCTGAATTGGGACTTTGGGTTTTTTAAAGAGAGGGTTTTGGGAGTTTTTTTTGAGAGGTATTTAATAAGGCCTATTGAAACGATTATTTTAAAATCCCTTTTCTTTTTTCTTTTATTTTGTTTTTCATAGCAGTAGCTGGTAACCGTGTCATTTCCAAAGACTTCCTTTGATATTAGATTTAAAATGCAGCTATCATCTAACCTGGTGATACCTAAAATGAGGGAAACCCAAGTATATTCTTTATGTTATTTCCTTGTCAAATATGTTCAGCTGACAAGTCATGACATAGCTTTTCTATTTGTCAGCCCTGCAGATTCAGTCTTAGCCTTTTTTTCGTAGCAGCTATCTTCTGCTCCTCAGCCTTGCAGTCTCTAGGCAATAGATTTTGACTTCCCTGGCACCTTTGTGGCAGTATCAAGAGAGACATAAGGAGGCAAACGTTCAGGTAGCTGAAACTAAGGTCATACTCCAGCAGGCTGTCTTTCAGGAGTGGGCTTGAGTCACACTGAAAAGACCTGGAGACAACTGCTGTTTTTGTAGCACCTATACAATGGATAGAATCTGATTTTTCACAAGGTGGTTATTCCACTGTGAAAATAAATCACCAAACCATATATTTTATGTTGCTCAAAGAGAATGTTTTGTTTTGTGTCGCCCCTCTCCACCCCCCCCAATTAATTAAATTTGAGTTCTCCTAGTTGAATATCTTTGGGTATTTTGATTAAAGCTGTAAGACAGACTGTATGATTGAGTTGATAAAAAGATAAATAAGAACAAGATCTTTGGAAATGTCTTCGGATTTGGATCTTTCACCTAATGTTTAACAAGAAACTCTGGTATGCTCTGATACTTCTTTATGAATTGTCAGAAAGCTTCTGTTTTGTATGTAAAATAGAGACACCTGAAGCAGTCAAGAAGCTCATAAGCTTGGGGTATGTAAAAGAATTCAGAATAAAAGTGGTCTCAGTAATAATTAGTGAGTTTCAAGCTAGAGCCTTTTTATCTTTTTAAAATCCTCTTCTTTGAGACAAATTTTCCACATACTCATATTACTAATCAACACTTGTTTTATAAAATAGCCTTTAGAAAATAGTCTGGTCTTTTTCTATGGAATCCTCTTCTGGGGAACTCCATTCTCTTGGAGTCCAGCTGACTGCAGAAGCACCCTGTGGTCAGGGGAAGTATGTAAGAATTGGTGACAGCAGATTTTGATTAAAAAATTAGGGTTTTGGACCAGAAGCTTTAAAGGAGATGTTTAGGAAAAGAAGTCCATTAATTATGTTGGATTTTTTATAGGAACAGTGGCGGCTGCAGCAGGTCTTCACCCTGGCCAATGCATAATCAAAGTGAATGGAATTAATGTCAGCAAAGAGACTCATGCAAGTGTTATTGCTCATGTCACGGCATGCAGGAAGTACAGGCGGCCAATGCAGGTACGGCTCAGTTGTTACCCTTGCAGATTTTCTTCTAAATATCTTTGGTCTTGTTTTTTTTGGTTTTGTTTTTGTTTTTGTTTTTTTGTGGTGTGTATCTTTGTCAACATATCTGTTATGTTTGAGTGTGATGAGGGGAAAGAAGCAGTGAGTAAAAATGAAGGGAAGCCGGCTGAATTGTAAAAGCTGAAGATTGCTCAATATATTGCTCGTGTTCATGGTCTGTTTAATTTCTGCATTGAAATAAATCTAAGCTTATAGCTATTTTTTTTTTTCATATGGCATTTTTAAAGTATTACTTGAAGTGTTTCTGCAGTTCTATGCAGAAAGCATTGCGAGGTATATTCTCATCATGATGGAGAGGGATTTATACAGCTCACTGCCTGTTCAGCAGCAGGAGAATGCAATGCAAAAAGCTGATCTTCTTCCAGAATTTTGTACACTTCAGCACACAGAGAGCAGAGTGCACATATTCCGTCTATAAAAGTCTCTGTGTTCCCATTGCATTTCAATCTTGGACATTCGAGGACTCAAAATTTCACTTTATTATATATAAGCATGCATTTTTTGTTACCTTTTTCACATTAGTTTAGGAGAAAATCTAAGGCTTCCAAGACAGAAATTTAAGGAAGAAAACCAAAACCAGCTGGATTCTATAATGTAATTTTTCCAAGACCCTGAAAATTTTTCATAAACTGTGAACCAATGTAATTAAACTTCACAAACTCTTTCAGTGAATCTTAATTAAAAAGAAAAACACAATTAAAATCAAGAGTGAAGTCCTTCTACACCTACTGCATAGATTAGGGATAAGAATTATAAGTAAGAGTTAGAACTATATCATGCAAATACAGTCTTTACGAAAGTGTTTATCTGGATGTTTGTGTTTAAACTCTAATACAGAATTGAAGTTGCTACGTGGCATATCAAGATCAAGCTCACCTGTTCTTTAAGGAAGATGTGGTCTAGTAAAGAGAGGGTGTTTTGTGCACTAGTAGCAGAACTGGCAAGAATAAAAAATTAAATTCTTCATAGCAGGTGTATTCTCTCTGTGTATAAGTGTGGAGTTCCTATAGAGATTAGTGACATCCAAAGAGGATTGATTAATATTGGCTGGCATGAATGCCTTGATGTGCAGAATTACTCTTTTTTTTTTTTTAATCCACTTGTGTAATATGTTGTAGTATATAACTTCTTCCTATACAGAGTATTTATTTCAGTCTTTAAAAGTAGCTGATCATAATTCAGCAAATCACAAATATCTAAAATCCCCCAGACTGACAAGAAAAACTTCATTTCGGATGTAGTGCTATCAAATGCTATGGGAGAACTGTCTAGACTGAAATAAATGGCAGTATTCCCACTGGTGTCAAGACAGCTAAAATTTCATTTACTATTCACAAATTTGGGTTTTTAATTATTTGGAAGATGACTGAATTTCTCCTGTTTTGTAAGTACAGTGTATAGGCCTGTCATTTAATTAACATGAATATTGCAGTCTCTCCTGTGGTTGGCAATTGCATAATTGCAAGGGGATCTTTTTCTGTCTTCTGTATATTCCACTTCTCAGGGTGAGGAGTCTTCTGCTTGCCTGGAACGTGAAGTTTCATTTCAGATTCTTGCAGTGTGAAAAACTGTGTAACTTCTGTAGGACAATGTTTCTATTCTGTCTTGTCTGGATGAAGAAAATTGAAAGCAGATTTTACTTCTTAGGAACTGCAATTTCTTTGCAGTGATACTAATCATGATGTGACAGATTTATGCTTAGGTTGTGCTTCTGTAATGCTTTTGGAGAACATTGCTCCAAATCATGTAGCATTATATCTTGTGTTAGCTTTTGAAAGACAGACTTCCAGTTTAAGGAGTTCTTCTATTAAGCCATATTAAGTTCAAATAATGAAGGAACCTTTTGACAGAATGTAAATTTCCTATTAGAGATTCACATGGCAGTATTAACGCTGCCAAGCAAACCTGTAAGACTCCATAACTAAGCAGCAAGCTTTCAGGTGGACCTGCAAAACAGCATGGGTTTCAAAAGTGTTTCTGTCAATCAGCTTGTGCACGGGTGTCTTCCAACAGTCAACAGAAGGCTCTGAAATTTAAGCTTCCTCGTTAAAATATTCAAGTGCCATTGAGTGAAAAGTAAGGCATGGATGAATCTAGGAAACCTAGAGAGAAAAATAGTACCTTAATCATATAAAAACTTTGTCATCTAGATTAATGGGTTAAAGATAGTGACTGAATATTGTATAGTAGCAAAGCATAATCTGATGCGCGTGGCATTTTGTGTGAAAATCATAACATTCAGCTTAAACTTTTGCTATCCTTGCTTAACTTTGAATTCTTTCCATAAGCTTCTTTTTAAAGTCTGTGAGTTCAGATTAGTCATAATTCTGTCGTCTATTCGCTGTAGCTGTTGTAGAGGGAATGATGAACTGACTGTCGGGCTTCTTTTGAAGTGTAAGGGGAAGAGAAGAGTAGACTGGAGGCGCCAGATTTGATAGGCCCTTCCACAAGGGTGTGATGGGCCTGTGGCTGAGTGAGTGAGGGGGAGAACAAGGTGTAAGGCATACACGTGGCTTCTTCCTAGGTTGTATGACCAAGCCACCATTCTGTGCTCACATGTCACTCAGTCACATAAGATGCTGGACTTTTGGGGCTTGTGATTCTGTGCTTTTTTGCGGGTTTTGCTAATCTGGGGCAAAAATAAAGAACATCTAGCGAAATAACTGTAGTAAAGGCAAATATAAGTAGTGAAGGCTGTAGTGTATATTCGTCTTGCCAGTGACACATGGGTGATAGATTAACTGGATGTACTATATCTTTGGTTGTCATTCCATAATATTTGCCAGCAGACTTGTGGACGCACAGAAGATTTAGCAAGGCAAAAATCAGTTCTCTTTATTTTTTCACATTTTCTTCTCTCAAATATTTTTCAATCTGTGGTTTGATTTGAAATGTCTTAAATTATTTTTGGCAGAGACATGAAACTGATGGATGTCATGCTGTCACAGATTTCATACTGTCTCATGACAGTATACTCTGAAATAAAAAATAAATTGACAAAATGCTTCAGATGGTTTTAGACAAAGCCAAAATTCTTTGTAATTTTCAAAATACTATTTTTAACTTGGAGCTCAGAAGGCAGTAAAGCTGATAATAATCAAGGAATTACAGCAACTATTTCACGTTTGAGAGCAGTGAAATAAGTTGCTATCAATTGCACTTGCAAAGCTTTTCCTAGCTGTCCTTTTTTCTTGTTTTTTTAGCAAGATTCTATACAGTGGGTTTACAACAGCATTGAAAGTGCGCAGGAAGATCTTCAGAAAACAAACACCAAACCCTCTGGAGATGATGGAGGGGATGCCTTTGACTGCAAAGTGGAAGGTATGTGATACTGTTGTTGCTCAGAACGTTGCTCAGAACGTTGCTGTAGTAGCAAGGAAAATATAGGCAGTGGTTTTGTTTTCAGAGAGGAAACTGCAAGCAGACTGTAAGATAGCTTTTACATTAGGATTTGCTTTTTTATGTATTGTAAAGATGTAAATTTAACATGCTGTTCTCTGAAAATTATTATATTTCCCATTTTGAGAAAAAGCTTCTGCAAACACTTTAAGGAAAATCTGTTCTGTTTTCTTTCACAGGATACATAATCCTACGAATTAATTTTTCACCACTAGTAATCATTTAAGGCTAGATTAGATGCATTAGTCACTACTGCATGAGAAATAACAAATCAGCTAGCCTTCAGATTATTTTCAGGCAATTAACATTTAGATAAAGCTGGATTCATGTGCATTATGGTAATTAAAGAGATGGTTAACGTGAACTGTATTTATGTTCTCTGGGTAAATGCTGGTATTGTGGTTTCATCTCTGAATGTTGACACTTTTTGTGGCCATTTTCTTCTAGTTTATTTAGAAGCTCTCAGTTTTCCCTTTTTTTTTTTTTTCTTGCTTTTTTTATGTCTCTGGATTATAAATGAAATTGAATTAGTCCCCTTCAATAACTGTTTGTAAAGGGAGACTATTGTGACTTGTCTGTTCATGCCTTTTTAGCAATCTAGTATTTTAGCATTCAAAAGCCTATGGATGTTCTGATTTTTGAATCATTCAGCTGGTTGCTGGGTTTTTGATGAACATTTTCAAGTAGAATGATCAGATCATACCTGTTTTTAGAATGTTTGCCTGTGTCCTTTTCATTTTGTTTAATGGCCAACCCTCCTCAACTGATTTGTGTCATTTTCTTTATTCTAGAGGTAATTGACAAGTTTAACACTATGGCAATAATCGATGGGAAGAAAGATCATGTGAGTCTGACTGTAGACAATGTTCATTTGGAGTATGGAGTGGTTTACGAATATGACAGCACAGCTGGAATAAAGTGCCATGTGTTAGAAAAAATGATTGAACCAAAGGGGTTTTTCAGCTTGACTGCAAAGGTATGAAGCAATTTTTGTATGTATTAATTCTTACTATGCTTAATACCAATGGAAGAATATTTTGCTGATTCTTAGGATTATATGTATTTCATTTAATATCTTGTAATTGGTCACCTTTGTCCCTCTGACATTTTGGAGGATGATTGTGTACTCAGGAAGCAAAATAAGTTATGGCGTGATTAGAAATTGAGCATCTAAACTGAACAAATGTTAAAGAAATTTAAAGTCTTCCATTCCTCCTCCCCCCACGCTTTTCTTTTTCTTAATTAACAAATAAAGCTTCAAAGAAACTTGAAGACTCACTGAAATGTCAAAACTTTGTGAAGGTAGGCTGTAGTTTCTTAATGCTGTTTAATCTCATCAGAATTGCATATGTAACTTTTAAATTTTGTTTCAGTAAGAGGACCAGTAGCACAGCATCTGTCTTTTCTGTGGCTTAACGTAAAATAGCACAGGCGCACACATTGGCAAAATCACAGAGGAAGAAAAAAACAAGCGCAACTTTTGAGTTTGCTTTGGTATTTTTTCTTTGTGAATATTTCCAAATGGTAAAACCTGTGATTGCTATGAATGGGATGTGAAAATTTTTTATTTATAGCAGGTGTTGTCTGGGTCACTTTGACAAATAATGTAGTAATAAAGCTCTTTTACTGATTTTGTTTTTATCTTTTTACACACTTACGCATACTAACAAAGTACACTTAATGAAAACATGAAAGACTGAACTTTTGGGGAGTGTATTGATATTTGCAAATTTCTTTTGATCTTTGCATCAGAAGTGTAAGCTAACGTACTGATCTTTTATTGAAATTGCTGGGACATGGGCGTGTGTTTCCTTTCCCTGACTTCACTTTGGAGCAGGTCGGTTTGACAGACAGAGGAGTAACTTCTTGCACAAACATCAGGAGATTTGATAGAGCTGGTCTAGTCAATGCTTCAGGTCATTGGCCTGGAAGATGTTAATTCTTGCTGTAATTACAATTTTGTATAAAATATTTAAGGTATTATTTCCTAACTGCTTGAGAAATATTTTTCCATTGTAGTATATGGAGTAGTTAAGTTAAAAAGTACTTCCAGCACACTGATTCTGGCCTTAAATAATGCAGTGTCATCACCCTTAGTGTTTAGGCTGGCTAATTAAATACTTAGAGATTACTAAAAGACAATAAGGAGATGTAATGTAGCTATGTTAGAATAATATAAAGTTTATTTCAAGTGATGGTGGTCTAAAAAGATGTGATTATCCCACTTTGTTCAGCATTGGTGCAGCCTCTCCTTGAATACTGTGTGCAGTTCTGGGCCCCACAATTTAAGAAGGATGTGAAGGTCCTTGAATGCTTCCTGAGGGGGACGACAAAACTGGTTAAAGGGCTGGAAAGAATGTCCTGTGAGGAGCATCTGAGAACTTTGTGTTTGTCTAGTTTGGAGAAGAGGAGACTGAGGGGTGACATCATGGCTCTCTATGGCTTCCTGAGGAGGAGAAGTGAAGAGTGAGGTGCTGAGCTCTCCTCCCTGGGATCAAGTGATAGGATGAGTGGGAGTGGTTCAAAGCTGCACCAGGGGACGATTAGACTGGATATTAGGAAGCATTTCTTTACTGAGAGTGTGGTCAAACACTGGAACAAGCTTCCTAGAGAGGTGGTTGATATTTCGAGCCTGTCAGTGTTTAAGACAATGCCCTTAACAACAATTTTTAGTCATCCCTGAAGTGGTCAGGCAGTTGGTCTATTCTATTCTATTCTATTCTGTTCTGTTCTGTTCTGTTCTATTCTATTCAGATCAGGTCCCTTAACTCAAAGGCAAGAATAAAAATTGTAGTGGCACTTCATCAAATGTAACTGTATGCAAATGGTTTTAAATACTCTAAAGGTAAAATTATCTGTGCTTTCAGTAGGGTCTCATGTGTCTCTCTATATGCTTCTTTCTCTCTTTGCTATGTATTTATTGTTGTTTTGCATTTTTGCATTTTGTTGCTTTGCATCTCTGTTCTGCGTCATATGTAGTAGGGGAGTGAAGTAATCCTGGACTGCTTCGCTATATTGTGCAAATCTTTACTGTGTTCATTATTATGATGAGAAGATATCCAAAGTTTTGCTGCAAAAGTTACTGGTTTTGAATGCACTTATTTTAATGTACAGCTGAAAAAAAATATCAGGAATTACTGAAATTCGTATTATTAATTAAACCTGACATAAAGGAAACTTAAGAGCATGACCAAAGTGACTGGGATGTTTTAATGCAGTAACTAAACACTGTAGCAAAAGAGTTAAAAGCTTTCCTTGATTTTTCTTTCTGGGGACCTGAGAAAAAATTCTCTCAGGATCTAGTCATTTGTAGTCTGTGACTTCTTAAAAACTGTAGATTTTGCCCTCCAAAATTTCTGTACAT